TAGCTGTAGTTACGAGGTAATGAAACAGTATTGCATTATACCACCTCACACCAGTCAGAGTGGCTAAAATGAGCAAATCAGAGGACTCTAGATGCTGGTGAGGATGTGGAGAAACGGGCACCCTCCTACACTGTTGGTGGGAATGTAAACTGGTGCAGCCCCTCTGGAAAACAGTGTGGAGGTTCCTCAGGAAACTAACAATAGAACTCCCCTATGACCCAGCAATAGCACTGCTGGGAATTTACCCAAGGGATACAGAAATGCTGATGCATAGGAGCACATGTACCCCAATGTTCATAGCAGCACTCTCCACAATAGCCAAAACATGGAAAGTGCCTAAGTGTCCATCAACGGATGAATGGATCAAGAAGATGTGGTTTATCTATACCATGGAATACTCCATGGCAATGAGAAAGAATGAAATCTGGCCATGTATAGCAACATGGATGGACCTTGAGGGTGTTATGCTGAGCGAAATAAGTCAGGCAGAGAAGGACAGCTACCAATGTTTGCACGTATAGGAGGATTAGGAGGAACTTAACGGAGGACCGTGGGGGAGAAGAAGGGGGGAAATAGTGGGGGAGAGGGAGGGAGGCAAACCATGAGAGGCTCTTGAATGCCGAGAACAAACTGAGGGCAGATGGGGTAGGGGGAGGGGGGATGATGGGCATGGAGGAGGGCACTTGTAGGGATGAGCACTGGGTGTTATATGGAAACCAGCTTGACAACTATTTAAAATAAAAAAAAAAAGTCTATAGAAATCCTGAATAAAATAAAATGAAGAAGAAAACATAGGTAACAAGTGAAAATACTATATTGAGGGCTGGATTCATGGAGTCTGAAATGATGAGATTTTGAGTAACTTTAAAATTTTGATACAGTGTTATATTTGCAGAAAAGCTGGAAAGTTGAGTGCCTAGAAATCTATATACCCATTGAATAAATTCCTTAATCATTAGCATTCTATCACATTTGCCCCTGGCATTCTTTCTCTTTCTCTGTGTATGTGTATGCATGTATAACATACCCTGCTCCTCCTTAAAATTACATGCTTCTTGCCTTGAATTAAGTGTTACTGTGATGGCTGCCAAATGGTAATTTTAAAATTTCATCATTCCTTCAATAGTTATTAGTAAAGCTCTAAGGTAGAGCCTTTCTGTTGATTCTAGTTGGATTCTTGTTTGATGAGCTCTAATTCATTTATGTCTTTAGTTCGATTCTAAAATTTTATAAACTTTGCCAGGTAAAACCTTTTCACGTTGTCTCCTGGATCTTTTGACAGGTTCTCATCATTCTCGAGAATTTCCTTATTCCCTGGCACAAGCTGGCCTAAGATCATCTTGTACTTTCCCTGTTCAGCCCCTGGATCAGCTATTTCTTTACAAATATCTGGTTCCTTTTAGTGAATAAGGATATTTAGAAAGTGCATTGTGGTTATCACTGGTTGGTTCAAAGGTATTCATTTTATTTTAGAACTGCTATATGTGATTAATCTCACATGTGTCTTCCTGGCATGTTCCCAAAAGTGAGAAACCTCTAAGAGAAACTTCAAAAATATTCTTTGTAATTATTAATATTTAAAATAACCCATAAAATAAGACAAAATCAATAAGATTTTGAATCCCTAGTTAGCTTAGTAATATATATTTCTTTGGATGTCATGACATATCAAGAAGGAATAATGACACAGCACACCTTTTTCCATCAAAAAGTTCAGGTCATTGTGTATTTAGAAAATAAAGTTACAAGGACAGTTAAATAAAAACTTTTTTTTTTGCTTCTAAAGTAAAAAACCCCCAAAAAACCAAAACCAAAACAAAACAAAAAAAACAGTATTGCATTTCTTTTTCAATCCTATAAAACCATGACTTAAAAAAAATTTTTTTTAAATATTTTATATTTTAGAGAGAGAGAAAGCGAGTGCAAACAGGGTAAGGGAAGAGAGACAGAGAATCTGAAACAGGCTCTTGTCTCCAAGCTGTCAGCACAGAGCCTGATGCCAGGCTCGAACTCACAACCAGCGAGATCATGACCTGAGCTGAAGTCGGTCACTCAACGGACTGAGCCACCCAGGCGCCCCTAAAACCATGACTTTTTAATAAACCTGATGCTTTTCTTACAGCTGTCTCTGCCCCGCCTCTTCTCTGTCCACCTAGTAGTTAGACTACATATGAGGTATTTGATGGTTTTCATGTGTTTTTCACCACAGATGTATTTAGTTTATCCCTTGTGTATTGTAAAGACAGGCTAGAATTATGGATACTACACCTTCAAAGAGTTACATAGAGGAATTTGCATCTGTGTGCCAGAGGCCTGTTTCTTGTTCCTTCTGCAAAGGGAAAGGTGCAATTCACAGCTTAAATAGTAGAATCACTGTGTCCTGCCATTTTATTTATTTATTTATTTATTTATTTATTTATTTAAATGTTTACTTTTGAGGGGCGCCTGGGTGGCTTAGTCGGTTGAGCCTCCGACTTTCGCTTAGGTCATGATCTCGCGGTTCGTGGGTTCGAGCCCTGCGTCGGGCTCTGTGCTGACTGCCAGCTCAGAGCCTGGAGCCTGTTTCAGTCTGTGACTCCCTCTCTCTCTGACCCTCCCCTGCTCACGCTGTCTCTCCCTCTCTCTCTCTCTCTCCTAGAAATAAATAAAACATTAAAAAAAAAAATTAAATGTTTACTTTTGAGAGATAGAGTGTGAATGGGGGAGGGGCAGAGAGAGAGGGAGACACAGAATCTGAAGCAGGCTTCAGGCTCTGAGCTGTCAGCACAGAGTCGGATGTGGGGCTCAAACCCATGAACCGTGAGATCATGACCTGAGCTGAAGTCAGACACTTAACTGACTGAGCCATTTTAAAAGATAGCCTTTATTGATGAATCAGTGAAGGCAGAAGTGTTCCATAATACTTTGGTTTTGCAGACTTACAGTTCATTGGTATTTAAATGGAAAACAAATATTGTCAAGGTTGGGTTTTGTGGTTCTTTTCAATCATGACAAATAGATGGTAGTGTTTAAAAGCTGTTGGTGTCTAAGACTGAAGCCTACTTTTCCCTTAAGCCTGAACTTTCCCTGGGACCCTGCAAGTTCCCTCAGCCCCAGATAGATGGGCAGGATTCCCTCTCTGTGGAACCTTCTGAGCCCCGTGCTTGACTTCTTTGCCTCTTTTCCATAATGTCTGTGAGGACGAGCTTGCCTATGAGTATGAAAATGCCGGGGGCAGAGGAGATTGTGTGTTGAGTGCCTCTTTGGCTTATATTTCAGTCTGTCCTTCAGAGGAGATGGACACAGGTTACATGTATCTAAGGACAGAAGATGGCATTGTTTCATCTCTTGGTGCCCAGCTTGGGAAACAAAAACTGAAAGTAGGCAGGGGCTCCGAGAGGGGTGTATTAAAGATTAGATCGAAAACTTTTATCGAGTACTTGCTATGTGCCAGATAGGAAGTATTTCATGTGAGTTGACTTAACTTAAACCTCCAAGTGTTGTATGAAGCAGGTGCCATTATTACATTCATTTTACAGACAAGTAAACTGAGGCATGGAGAAGCCAAGTGACTGTCCCAAAGTCACGTAGCTAGTAAGTGACAAGAAGAGAACTCTGATGGTGGCCCGTGGAAAAACCTCATCCCCAGAGCTGAGATACCTTCCTCCCTGGGGATTTTACTGACTCAAGAAAAGGGACCGGAGTGTAGCTGTTGTCACCCCTATAGATGGGAGGTATGGGAAATCCCAGCATTCTGTGTTCTTTAGTATTTTCTGGAGGTCTTCAGCCTTGGCTAGAATGCCTCAAAGGACTAATGAACTAATGAATTCTCTGGAGGCAGCCCTACTTCTGTACAGCCTGAAGGGATGGAAAAGTCCAACCGGCCTCCCCTCACTGACTGTAGGTCTCTTTGGAGCTATGTCTATCCCTCCTGCTTGAGCAGATCGGGGACCCTGTGTGAGTTGCCTTCCTACTGGCCGAGAGAGCAGGGAAACCACCTTGCCCATGTCTGCTGCCTCAAGCTTTGTGGCACATGAAGCCAGAGTCCTCCTCAGAGGAGGAAGTAGAAGGCAGGGATTAGAGGTCATGGCAGTCTGTTGTCCAGCAGGAGCCATCTGTGAACTGACGTGTCGGTGACCTTCTCCCGAATCCACTAGATATCTCAACCCATCACCTGCCAGACGCGGAGATTTGAGGCATGTCCTTAACCACCCTGCGTGAACACGTTTACTTGGGGGAGCCAGATAGGGTGCTGGGAAGAACCCAGAGGAGTTCAAGGTGTGGTTCCTGCCTCCGTGTTTCTTTTTTTTTTTTTTTTAATGTTTTATTTATTTCTAGGAGAGAGAGAGAGACAGCGTGAGCAGGGGAGGGTCAGAGAGAGGGAGTCACAGACTGAAATAGGCTCCAGGCTCCAAGCTGGCAGTCAGCACAGAGCCCGACGCGGGGCTCGAACCCATGAACCGCGAGATCATGACCTAAGCAAAAGTCAGATGCTTAACCGACTAAGCCACCCAGGTGCCCCCTTGCCTCCGTGTTTCTGACAAGATCCGAGGGGGACAGGATTTAACCCCATGGCATAGTTGCATCCCACTATTCACTTAAATGCTAGAAAGGGGCCAGAGCAGCTCCAGGGAAGATTAATGAGGATCATTTTTGCCTTTTTCGAAAACATTTTCCATTCTGTTGTCTCCGGATGAATACGTGTGCTTGTCTTCTGCCTGCAGGTTCACCTCGCAAGAACAATGAGGAAATTCCGGGTAAATCTCAGCTGTGTTGAGAACGGGCAGGATGGACTCGGTTAGAAGCACACGCGTGTGCTCTCCTCCTGGGGTCTCCCATTTGCCTGGTGGAATGAGACCAGGAGGGAGAGCTTTTCTTCTCTGCACTATTTCTTACCCGTGTCGCATGGTTTCCTTTCACTGAGATTGTAACTGAGGAATCAGGTATATCCACTGTGACCTGCCATGGCTCTGCTTCTTGTTCGTTTCTCTGAGTTAACCTTCCCGTCCCTCTCCCCACAGGTCGGCCGGCAGACATGATGAGCACCAAGGCCTTCACATTGGTCTCTGCCGTGGAGCGGGAGCTGCTGGTCGGCGACAAGGAGCAGGGCCACATAGAATGCGTGGAGTGCTGTGGCAAGAACCTGTATGTGGGCACCAGTGACTGCATCGTCTACCACTTCCTGTTGGAGGAGAGGCCGCTGCCCACAGGGACGGCCATGTTCTCTGCCACCAAGCAGCTGCACCGGCACCTGGGCTTCAGGAAGCCGGTGAGTGAGCTGCGCGCGGCCTCGGCCCTCAACAGGCTGCTGGTGCTCTGTGACAACTCCATCACCCTGGTCAACATGATGAGCCTGGAGCCTGTCCCCTCGGGGGCTCGCATCAAAGGGGCCATGGCGTTGGCCTTGAACGAGAACCCCGTGAGCGGAGACCCGTTCTGCGTGGAAGTCTGCATCATCTCGGTCAAGCGCAGGACCATCCAGGTGTTCCTGGTGTACGAGGACCGGGTTCAGATCGTCAGGGAGGTGTCGACGCCGGAGCAGCCCCTGGCCGTGGCTGTGGATGGCCACTTTCTGTGCCTGGCCCTGACCACCCAGTACATCATCCTGAACTACAACACTGGCGTCGCCCAGGACCTGTTTCCGTACTGCAGCGATGAGAAGCGGCCCATCGTCAAGAGGATCGGGAGACAAGAGTTCCTCCTGGCGGGCCCCGGAGGACTGGGTGAGCCTCCGCTGACCCTCACCTCCTGTCTGTCCGTTCCCCTTGCCGTGTCCCCATGAGCCCTTGTGGAAATCCGAGAGGGAGAGGTTAGCTGTGAAGACAGGTACTACTCGTAAAGGGTATTTGCAACACTGAGGATATGTGGCAAGATATAAACAGAACTACATGACCAGCATTGGCTAAAGCTTCCTTAGATTGTTTTGTGAATGGAGGGTTAATGGAGCAAATGTAGGCCAGTCATTAAGTAAAGCCAGCTTTATTTTGTGTTAAAAAGGAGCCTACGGAAGGCTCTGGGGAGAAAATCCTTCAAAGTAAATAACTACCAAATAAAACTCTGTACAACTGCCTTATAAGATTTTCTCATGTGTGTGGCCTTGTCAGTGGATCGTTTTTACTTTCCTTTATAAAAGGGAGTTGAGCTCTCTTAGAGGTATTTTCACGTGTGGAAACTTCAGAGCTACATCCATAATTTTATTGACTGCGGTTTGATTCCACCAAAGTTTCTTTTAGCTAGCTCCTTGAAAGGGCGCTGTTGTATGGCCTTGCCAATTCTCTGTGCTGCCTGATCAAAATTAAGACTCAGAACTATTAATGGTGTGGGTGGCTTATATTTCCTTTCCGTTGTGGGTGGCTCATTTTAGCAGTGGTATGTGCCTGGGACATACAGGTGCTGGGGAGGGCAGGTCCCCCCACCATTGGTGTTCACTAACCATAGTTTGGGTGTAGGCGTCTCATGTCAGAGCGATGGGCACAGATCTATATTCTGGTAATAACAAAAGTTGAGGTTATGAGCTAGTTGAGGTACACTTACTGATTTTTAGGTTTTTAACTAGATTTTATTTTTTAAGGAAATCTTGGGCTCGCAGCAGGATTGAGCAGGAAGGGCAAAGTTCCCACGTGCCCACTGCCCCTAAACACGCACATCCTCCTGCCCTATCCACATGCCCCTACAGGGTGGTACATTTATGATAATGGATGAGTCCACATTGATACATTATCATCACCCAGGGCCCGTAGTTTACATTAGGGTTCACTCTTGTATATTCTGTTGGTTTGGGCAAATGTATCCATCATTACGGTGCCACTGTCTTTAGCATTCTCTGTGCTACACCTGTCCGTGCCCTCACCCCCAGGTTCTGGCAACCACTGATCTTTCCAGAGTGTCATGCAGTATGTTACCTTTCCGCATTGGCTGCTTCCACTTAGTAATATGCACTTAAGGCTCCTCCGCATCTTTTCCTGACCTGATAGCTCAGATTTTTACTCTCTGGAAAAAAATTCTTTATCCCAACCACGTTTTTCTTTAACAAAAACTCCAATTTTAATGAAAAGAATTGTATTATGGAAAACCTGTATAAATATACATAAAGAGAATATTATAATGAACTCAAAGGTACCCATTCAGCATCAGCTATTACTCCACTCATTCCTTGCCAGTTGTTTGATTTATGCACCTGACCGTTTCCTCTGCTCGATTATCCTAGCATCCTGGGCATCATAGCGCTTCACCTATAAACCTTTAAGTATGTAGTGCTAAGTTACTTAAAAAAGGAAAAAAGAGAGGCCCCTGAGTGGTTCAGGCGGTTAAGCGTCCGACTTCAGCTTAGGTCATGATCTCAGTGTTCATGAGTTTGAGCCCCACGTCAGGCTGTGTGCCGACAGCTCAGAGCCTGGAGCCTGGTTTGGATTCTTTGTCTCCCTCACTCTCTGCCCCTCCCTCACTCATGCTTGCTCTTTCTCTCTCTCAAAAATAAATAAACATTAAAAAATATTTTTTTAAAGAATAAAAGGAAAGAAAGCCACAATACCTAAAAAAATCTAAAAAAACTAATTCCTTAATGTCATCAAATATCAAGGCATTCCATATTTCCCCTGTTGCCACACATACAGAGAAACATATGTAAATACCTATCTACATAAATTTACGTTTCAGTATATGTTTATTTTTCAGTTTGTTTGAATCAGATCCCGCACGAGGCCTATACACTGCAATTGACTGATCTGTGAAGCTTCTCTTGGTCTGTGAGTCCTCTTAAAGTTCCATCCCCTTCTCTTTTTATTTTTCCTTAATTTTTTGTTGAAGAGGTTGGATTGCTTTACCTATAGCATCCCACAGCTTGCATTTTAATGATTTTAGCTCCTTATATTATTTATTATGTCAGGCTGACCTTTGTGTTTCCCACCAACTGGTAGTTAGGATGACAGGTTTTATCAGATTCCAGTGTTTTTTATTGCTTGTTTTGGGGAGAGGAAAGGCTTCCTCATAGGCGGTAGGACTTCCATACGGTTGCATAATTTCTTTTTCTCTCTCCGTGATGTCAGTAGCTATTGATGAGTAAGACGTAGATCCTTAAATCACCGGGGTGGGGGTGGGGCTGATGCTAAGTGGCAACATTCTTTTTCTGTCCATTCCTCCTTCATACCTTAACTGGATTGCTTCAGTGAGGACAAACGTACTATATTTGGTTGCCCCAGGTACACTGCTGCGTAAGAAAGGCAGAACAAGAAGGTGATCCCTTCTGTCTTCCAGGATGACTTTTTAAAAGGTATCATTAACACTTCACAGATTAAGACCCATATGGTGCGTTTCAGTCTATCTTTGCTTAGGGGGGTGCGGGGAAGGTTATCCAGGTGGACTGCTGAGCCCCCTTCACATGACCCTAGAACTTTGATGTCTTCCTTGCCCTCTGGTGTGACAAGGTGTTCCAAGTTCATTTTGTGCGTTCCCTGCCCTAGATCTGGTTTCAACCATTTCTCGAAGGACCCCTGAGGCTTAGAGACCATAGTCTGGGTGCTCGAGCTGCTTGTTGTCCGTTGTTTTGAGGTCCCTTCAGTGGACAGGGATAGAAGGATGCCTTTTTTTAAACATAAAATCCATCCTGAGATCCTATTGATAGAACCAGTTCAGGGCTGCAGGGGATTGACCTCATCTGTCTCTATTTCTGTATCTCCTTTCAACCACACCAAAAATCTTAGCAAACCCCTGCCCCCACGTAGCTGTTCCTTTGATTTATCTCCCAGGACACACAACAGAATAACACTACTGACACAATTGTCCCTACAATGTAACAGCTGGAAAAAGTTTGATTGTTTACAGTTCTTTCTGTCTTCAGGGCAGGGTATATATAACCCTTCTGGAATGTGCAGTCCTATTACTGTGTTCTAAAGTCCCTTGGAAGAGTTCTTTCAGTGTGGTCATGCCACCACCTGGATATCCAGTTCGGTTAACTTGTTTTCCTTTACTTTGGATTTTTAAGAATTGCTTTATTTTATATTTTTATGTGTAAATATTTATAGGTTCCAGTTCAGGTGGATGCAGCAAAGCATATTCGAAGAGCCGATATCCTGTCTCCTTCACTTACTCTCTTTTTCTGCCGTAGGTAACTTTTATTTTTATGGTTTATCCTTTCATTTTTAAGAAGAAATACAAATAGATGTGTAAACATTTGCCTTTCCCTCCTTGTTGGCTTTTTAAAAGGTTTAACGTATTATGGAGATCCTTTGCCATATAATGCAGAAATATTCCTCATTTCACAGCTGCATGTCCTTTAACGTTTGGGGGCACCATGGCTTTTTAAATCCCCTATTGGTGGGCATATGGGTTTTTGCTAGTTCTACGGTATTAATAGGGACTTATCTTTTTGTATTTTCCTGGTGGATCCGTGTGGGATCATTGAGTCAGAGTATATATGCATGCGAGTTTTGCTAGGTGTCGCCATACTCCTTTGATTAAAGATTGTCCCATTTTCCATTCGTCCCCAGGTGAGGGACGCCTGTCTCCCCTCACCCCTGCCCACAGAGCGGAGTTGTCAGAATTCTGTGTTTTTCTCAGTCTGGCACATGAGACAGGATCGCAATGTGGTTCGTTGCAATTCTCCCGTTAGGAGCAAGAGTGAACATTTTTCATACATTGAAGAGTCATTTGCATTTCTTTTGTTGGGAATTATCTGTTCTTCTCTCTCCCCATTTATTTTGTGTTCTTTACGTATTTAGATACCAACTTGTCGTATATTGCAAATATCTGTTTCCAGTTTTTACTACATAAAAGCTTTTCTTCAACATTTCTATGTAATCAAATACATTAATCTTTTTTACCTTATTGCTTCTTGATTTTGAGTTGTAATTAGACAAGAGCTCTATCTCTGAACCACCAAACCAAGCAGTTTTGAGTCACTATTAGGGAGGTTTCCTTCACTTCCGGTTATAGACAGATTCACCTATGTTTTCTGTTAGTACTTTTATGGTTTCATTTTTTTTTTTTTTAAGTAGGCAGAGTATAAGGAATGGATTCAGTTTTATCTTTTTCTGTATGGCTGTCTGTTATGTCAACAAATCAATCACACAGCTCACCTTCTATCATCGATTTAGGCAGCTGCCTTTAGTGTACACTGAATTCTATGCTATTGGGTCTATCTTTGGATTTTCTGTTTTGTTCTGTCAGTGTGTTTGCCTGCTTATAAACCAGTCCCTGTTTCTATTATCAAGGCTTTATAGTGAAAACATTTGACTCCAATGTCACTTGTGTTTTCATACATTATCTGTGTACAGCATAGTAATCACCACCACCATCACATGGCTTCAGAAATTAAGTTCAAATAAATTACTATAATGACTGCAAATGTACCTTTAAACATTCAAAAGCTACATATGTTTCTCCCTCAAGATTATATGTGCTCACACCCATGTCCTGAGAAACCACCCTTCCCTTTTTGAGTTAGTTTAAATTTTCCTATTTTCAGCAATACTTTCCTGAAATTTTCTTTCTTTTTTTTTTTTTTTAAATTTTTTATAGTTTATTTTTGAGACAGAGAGAGACAGAACATGAGCAGAGGAGGGGCAGAGAGAACAGGAGACACAGAATCTGAAACAGGCTCCAGGCTCTGAGCTGTCAGCATAGAGCCCAAGGAACCCATGAACCACAAGATCATGACCTAAGCCAAAGAGGGAAGCTTAACAGACCGAGCCACCCAGGTGCCCCTCTTGAAATTTTCATAATGTGATTGAGAACTATTACTTTCTTTCTTTTTATTTATTTTTGAGAGAGACAGAGACAGAGCGTAAGTGGGGAAGGGGCAGAGAGAGAGGGAGACAGAATCCAAAGCAGGCTCCAGGCCCCGAGCTGTCAGCACAGAGCCCAACATGGGGCTTGAACTCACTAACCATGAGATCGTGACCTGAGCCGAAGTTGGACGCCCAACTGACTGACCAGCCAGGTGCCCCAGTTTACTTTCAACTCTGTCTTTTGGTGATACTTCTTGAAAAAAGCAGACAGTTCAGCTACTCCTGGTCCATGAGGCCCCCTCCCTGCTCCCAGCTCAGATAAGGGGGTCCTCTGATATTTAAAGGGTGCACAATTGAAAATAATGCTTTCTTTAAAGATGTACAGTTTACACATTTGTTACATTTGTATCTAACTCTGACAATATAGGAACAATAAAATTTGTCACCTGCTTAGCAAGTGTATAATTAATTAGTGCCTGTTAAGAACAGTGCCTTCTGTTCGTAAGTGGTTTTGTGGCAACCTTACGCTGCTTGACCTGGTCCCCTCAGTTCTTGCTCTACTCTTTTATTCTAGTGATGTCTTCTGCTTTTTGGGTGTATAGAAGCCTTTGCTCTTGACCTCTGGTTTCTGCCCTTTTCATTTCGAGAACATTGATATCAGGGCCTCTGCGCTGCATACTTCCTGGGTCGGGTGATACCCAGCCGTAAGTGGGTAAATGCAATCACCTGGATTTAATTCCAGGATGAGACCAGACCACGTCTTGCTGTCCATGTTCCCATGAAAGTGTGCTGTTCAGAACACGGTTATTTGACGGGAAATCTTGCAGTGTCCTTGAGCTTGCTGTACGCTTGTCCCTCCAGGGGGTTATGTTTGCCAAGTGCCTGGGTGAGTGGTGTGCCCTCATGTTCTTTTCAGCTGGTCAGCTCTCAACACACAGAAAAGTCCCGACGGCGCTAACTGAATTTCCTCCTCCAAAGCTCAGTTCTCATTCCACATTCTTCATGCTTCCCCTTTGCCTCTCTGGTTTCTCTCCAGCATTTTAAAATGCTGTCTGAATACTTTGGCCATGCAGCTGGGGGGCCAATTCAGACTGTAATTATGTCCTCTGTGTTATGGTAAAATGCTGGAAATGCCAAACCCTGTGCCTTGGGTCCCGAGCATCATCTGACGTCTGGTACAGAAGCAGACTGTTTGGGTCCGCTTTCCAGCCCTCAGTTGTCTCTGCAGAGTTTTCAGTGTTTCCACTAAACTCCTGACTTCTTACCTGCTTTGTAAAGAGCTAAGAACAAAAGGGCCTCTCCAGCGCCAGAAGCAGACAGCCCTGGGTCACGCTCTGCAGGGACATTTTCTGTTTTCTCTCCTGTCACCCCGAATCTGTGGCTTTTGGTGTGCTCTGTGGAGCAATCTGTTCCCCTTCAGGAAGCACGCTGCTACTGCCTGAGAAAGTGCTGGAACCCCAGGCTCCCCTCTCCCAGAAGTTTGTGACCTTGAGTTCTGAGAAGTAGACATTGCCTCCTACCGGCGTCCTAATCTGTTTCATTCTAGACTCCACGTGGTCCTGTTAATCCTGAGACCAACAGCTGCATGGTGGCCCTTGACTCACCTTCTGTCTTGCTCCCACTGAGTCAGATGCCAGGTTCCCTGATTCAGCTCTGGAAGTCACCTCCCCCTGCATTTTGCCCCAGCACTGGGATGACTGAGGTCTCCTTCCTAGTGGCAGGCAGCTGCCTGTCCTCCCCTGGGTCTGGCTCCTTGCACACAGCTCCCCTCCACACTCCTGCCAGGTTGGCCTTCCCAGGCACCTGTGACGTGTATACATGTTTTGTTACTTAAGTGCTTTACTACTCAGCGCTCCCCACTCTGACCCTCCCCCAACACTTGACTTTCTGACAGGGTTCACCCTGTCCCTCCCCCATTGCTGCTGCCTGCCCAGCTCACCTTCCTGGTGCAGGCTGCTGTTTGATCACTCGACTCTGTTCACACTTGACCTCTGTCAGCACTCGGCAAGCTTTTTACTCCTTTCTGTGACCTGGTCTTTATCTCCTGTGTGGTAGTTTTCAGTTTACGAAATTCCCTTGAAACACTGGTCTGTCTCTTGATAGCTAACTCTGTGCTCTGTGTTCACTGAATTGGAATCACTACTTTGTGTTCATTCTTTTTGTATGTCCACATTGAATGGATGAGCTTTCTTTTCTGTTCCTGATGCACTTACCCAGAGCCACGTATTCTTTTAATGTATTATATACTCAATTTTGTGCTGTTCCTAAAAACATCGCAGTGACCATCCTGGTACTTAGCGATTGGTGCTAAAGTTAAAAGTTGAATCAAAGTCTAAGTGTGATTTCAGTTTTGGTAGATAATGCCAAATTATTCTTCACAATATGTTTCCTTATACCATACCAATACTGGTCACTGGTCCTTTGGCCAATCTGATGGGTAAAAAGTTTTTTGACTTTTTTTCCAGTTAAATTTGTGTCCCTGGTTATTGATGAAGATGAAAATCTCTTCATGAATTTATCACCCATTTGCATTTTTTGTCTTTTGTGAATTACTAATTTATAGCCTTTCTGTGTTGTTATTCTTTTTCAAAATAATCTTTGGAGACTTTGAAGGGAAAGGGAAATACATAAAGTCAGAATGGTTTACGTTGGGCAATTGTGACTCCTTTGTGGGACACACACACACACACACACACACAGTGTTTTATCCTTTTTTTAAAATTAAAAAAAATATTTTTTGAGATACAGAGTATGCAAATGGGGCAGGGGCAAAGAGTGGGGACAGAGGATCTAAAGCAGGCCCTCCAATGACAGCAGCGAGCCCAGTGTGGGGCTTGAACTTGCAAACTGCAAGATCATGACCTGCGCCGAAGTCGGATGCTCAACCGACTGAGCCACCCAGGTGCCCCAGTGTTCTATCCTCTTGACAGAGTTTTGGTTCTGGCTACCACTTGCTCAGAGCCTGGAAGTAACATGTGAAGCAGGCTCAGCAGTGTTCTGATCACAGTATTGTTCTTCAGGGAGGGCCCAGCATGTGACCGTTGAGAGCAGGGTGCGTGCACCCTGTGGGGTCCTGTGTGACCCCTGTTTTCAGGAACCCCCTAATTTAGAGGAACAGAGCTACGTCTGCACTTGGCCAACTGCAATGTTTCAGTCTTTGTAACTACAGAAAATTTAGGCCAGTTGATGATTTCATGGGTTTAGGAATTTTGCCCACATGGGGGTATAGTTGAGATCCTTTCCCTTGTCCTTAATCTTAAGGTCGTCCCCATGTCTCTGCCTGTGTCTCCCTTCCCCTCTCTCCATCTCATATAGTGGAAACCATTTATCTTTTGCAGTAGCAGCTGATGGCTTGCAGGCAACAGCATGCTCTTTTAAAGGTGTTTTGTGTCAACTCATTTGAAAACTAAGTTAAAATGGATTGACTTTCCTTTGTGAATGTTTTCATTTTGGTAAACCCAATATCCGTGGACTATATATGTGTAGCTCATTTAGAAATGGCTAGTTTGGTGCTTTATGTACAAGACAGATAGACAGTCATTTGATCTGGAAATTACTGGCAAACACTTAGCAGCAGTCCATCTCGAAGCGCAAAACTGGTTCTCTCCCCACATTATAGGATATGTGTGTCCAAGAGCCGATATCAGCTCTGAGCAGGGGCAGCTCCTTACAGGACACCTTGGGGAGTGCCTGGCACATAGTGGGAGCTCAATAAAGATTTGAGTGACTGTGTTCAGTATTCATGACAAGGAAGAGCTGTAACTTAGAGATGCAAGCCAGTTGGAGGACCAGATGTGAGAGAGAGCTTGCGAAGCTGCTTACATTGTTTGGAAGTGACTTTTCCCCCACAGGTGCTTTATACACCTTTGTGTGGGCCTATATAACCTTTGTTTTAAGTTCATTTCAAAAATTTTTATTTTAGAGAGAAAGAGAGCTCAAGTGGGGAAGAGGGGCAGAGAGAGAGACTCTTAAGCAGGCTCCACACTCAGCTGAGAGTTCTACACGGGGCTCAACCCTGGGATCATGACCTGAGCCGAAATCAAGAGTCAGACTCTCAACCGACTGAGCCACCCAGGCGCCCCTAAGTTCATTTTACACTAGGAGTAAATATAAGATATTCAGGGGGAAGTAGTTTTCTTCACAGAAATAAAGCTGTGGAGGGCTTTTCACACCTGCAGCATGTTACATTATCTTCCCTATCTCAAAATACAGAGAAGGGGGGGTGGTATGTGCTCTCCATCCAGACACATCTACACAAAGAAAAACACACCGTACTTATTTGGAGGCCTGACCGACTCTTCCTGTTTTTGCAGGCATGTTTGCCACAGTCGCTGGCATATCTCAGCGAGCGCCCGTGCACTGGTCGGAGAATGTGATCGGCGCGGCCATCTGCTTTCCGTACGTCATAGCGCTGGATGACGAGTTCATCACGGTGCACAGCATGTTGGATCAGCAGCAGAAGCAGACACTGCCCTTTAAGGAGGGCCACATTCTACAGGATTCTGAAGGTACTACTTTACACAGAAATCATAACGAAATTTAGCTATCAACCCTTTTGTGACACTTCTACAGTAAATGTTATTAAGGGTCCATCGGAGCTGGGCCTCGCGGTAAGTTTAGAAGACGCACAGGTGATGGTGATGTGGTCTCTGTGCCCCAGGGCCCCAGGTTAAAGGGGAGACAGATATTTGAACACAAGCTGTGGCTGTTTAAGAGCTTGATAAACACAAAGCAAGGCCAGTTGGGAGAGCAGAGGGGGAAGTGTTTCCTGGAAATATCAGGGAGGGCTTCCTGAAGGAGTTGGTATTTGAACCAAACCTTGAAAGATGAATAGGAGTCAGCCAAGCAGACTTGGTGTGAAAGAACCTTCAGGTAGAGAGAAATGTGCCTGTGCACCTGCATGAGAGGGACCCCTGGGCTTCAGGACGTGCAGGCAATTCAGTGTTTTTGGAGTACATCGTGTGTGAAGAAGGCTGGCATGACATGAGGCTGAGGCAGACCCAGCGGTCAGGAGGGACCTCCCCTTGTGGGCAGCAGCGAGCTGGGCAAGGGATCTATTTCACTTTTCCTTAATTTTATTATGAACGTTTTCAAATATACCAAAAAGTTGAAAGAAAAACACAGAAGCACCATGTACCATTGACCAAGAATCAACACTTGTGAACGCTTTGCTGAGCCGTTTAAAAATCAGTACAAGACATTGTGCCATTTAATCCGAAATACTTGGGCGTGCATCTCCTAAGAATCAGGGCGTTTCCTCACGTAATCACGAGAAAGTGAGCTCTAAAATCCTGGCCATGTTCGGATTTCCCTAGGTGTCCTAAGAATGCCCTTTCTGATATTTTCTTCAAACCAGGAACTGATCTAGATTTTTATGTTACATGTACAACTTAAGGATTTTAGCTCACCAAGCATTGCCCTTCCTGTTCTGGATGCTAGGGATATAAACTTACTAAGACTCTCGGCCCCCACATTAAGCATGGCACATTCCAGTCGGGGGCCCTGACCTATGCATCAGGAGTGTGTGTTTCATGACAATATCACAGTGAGAGTACATCGAGTGGTAGGGGTGGGCACAGGGTCACGGGCACATAGAGGCCAACAACATAACCCAGCCTGGGTGCAAACAAGGGGAGGCTTCCCGGGAAAGGGGACACCGGTGCAGAGAAGGGACAGAACGTCCTCTGAGTATGAGAAAAGTTACTTCACTGTGATACAGAAGCCAAATAGCCTGGACAAGGGAGCAGAGCGGAAAGACTGAAAGGAAGATGTGACAGTAATGCAGGCAAGGAACTGATTTTTTTTTTTTCATTTTTTAAGATCTTTATTTATTTTTGAGAGTGAGACTGAGAGAGACAGAGTGTGAGCAGGGGAGAGGCAGATGCAGAATCTGAAACAGGCTCCAGGCTCAGAGCTCTCAGCACAGAGCCTGACGTGGGGCTCGAACCCATGAACTGTTAGATCATGACCTGAGCCAAAGTCGGACGCTTAACCAACTGAGCCACCCAGGCGCCCCACTACTCAACTGCTTTTAAATTTATCCACACTTTTGAATAAATGGCAAGAAAGCCTATCTTGTACTTTGGAAATGTGGTATTAGGGTCCAGCCTTTTTCTGACAGTTGGCGGTATGGGAAGAAGAAAAGAGAAAGATTGTAATTGATGATTTCTGAAGGGATTCTGTGTTGGGAGAACTGATGAAATCAGTCATCCGATCATGTAACAGTCCCATTTGGGGGAAGCAGTGTGTGTTCTTTCTCTTTCCAACACTGTTGAATGTTTTTTTTCCCCAGGAAGAGTGATTGTTGCCACCAGTAAAGGAGTTTACATCTTGGTTCCATTACCCCTGGAAAAGCAAATACAGGACCTTCTAGCAAGCCGTAGAGTGGAAGAGGCTTTGGTTTTAGCAAAAGGAGCCCGGAGGAACATTCCAAAAGAAAAATTTCAGGTTTGTAATGAGCTGGTCACAAGGAAGCATGCCTGCAATCTACCGGTTAGAAAACACTCCGATTTCAGTCACATACATCAGTCCTCCTTGTGAGCCACACAATTGCTTTCATGTCTGTTATATTTTACTTCTTCAGCCCATTCACATCATATGGATATGGAGGCAAGTTGCAGTTGGACAGCCGGGCCAAGGTCTCACTGCTAACAGAGGCCAAGTCTGACTGTGAGCCTCTGACTTAATTCCTGCGCCTGATGTATAGACCACATTATATTTCTAATCAACTTTCTTCTTCAGTGGGCCTTCAGAGAGGGGTCAGGGGAATAGTTCTCGTAAACCCAAAGTGTAACATCGTCAGCTTCATTTGTCTCCTAATTTAGAATTTGTATTTGTTGGGATGGGGTTGAATTTTAAAAGTTTAGATTTATCTAAGCTATAGGAAAAGCTTTGTTAGCCATACTAATCCACCACCTAACGCTGCAGGAATCTGTCTGGTTAATTTCCATGGAAGGAAACTTTTAATGCACTTGAGGCACCAACTTTAATGTGGTTGGTGTGATAAATGAAACCAATCCAAGAATCATAAGTTCTTCTTCCATCCAGTGAAATCAGGTTCCCTAAACATTGCTTTCTTGATCCGTTGTTAGGTTAGTTCACATAACTCTACATATTTGAAAATAATGGAACATAGAAGGGTGTGTGTATGCTTCATTGAATGTGGAAACTGATCATGAAAAGTTCTCATGACTTAATCCTGATCCACTGATGGTTACCCATCAGTCAGATTTCCACATGACTAAGTGATGTTGTGGAGTGATGTAATACTTTCTGGCCTCAGTTGCTTTATGCTGTCAAGTGAAAGAAGACTGGATGTGTAATTTATGGTTATGGGGTATCAAAGAGAGCACCTTTTTTTTTTTGAGTGCAGTTGACATATGATGCTATGTTAGTTTTAGGTGTACAACATAGGGATTCAGCTTCTCTAAACGTTACTGTGGTCCCCAAAGTGAAGAGGACGTCTTTTCTATATGGAAAGATTGATAAACTTTCCCTTTTTATTCCTGATTTTTAAAAATTTAAATCCAAATTAGTCAACATACAGAATTTAGTGATTCACCACTTATAACACCCAGCACTCATCCCAGAAAGTGCCCTCCTTAATGCCCATCACCCATTGAGCCCATCCATCAACCCTCAGTTTGTTCTTTTGTATTTAAGAGTCTCTTATGGTTTGCCTCCTTCTCTGTTTTCATCTTACTTTTCTTCCTTTCCCATATGTTCATCTGTTTTGTTTTTTAAAATCCACATGAGTGAAATCATATGAAACTTGTGTTTCTCTGACTGACATATTTCACTTAGCATAATACATTCTAGTTTCATCCACTTTGTTGCAAATGGTAAGATTTCATTCTTTTTGATCACTGAGTAGTATTCCATTTTATACATATACCAAATTCTTTATCCATTCATCAGTTGATGGACATTCGGGCTCTTTCCATAATTTGACTATTGTTGAAAGCACTGCTGTAAACATTGGGGTACATATGCCCCTTTGAATCAGCACTCCTATATCCTTTGGATACATACCTACTGGTACAATTACTGGGTCGTAGGGTAGTTCTGTTTTTAATTTTTTGAGGAACTTCCATACTGTTTTCCTGAGTGGCTGCCACCAGTTTGCATTTCAACCAACACTGCAAAAGGGCTCCCCTTTTGAGGCTTCTGGGTGGCTCAGCCAGTTAAGCACCTGGCTCTTGATCTCAGCTCAGGTCATGATCTCACAGTTTGCAGGTTTGAGCCCTGCATTGGGCTCTGTGGTGACAGGATGGAGCCTGCCTGGGATTCCCTCTCTCCCTCTCTCTCTGCCCCTCCTCCACTTTCTCTCAAAATAAAATAAATAAATGTTATATAGTTTCACAGTTAATAAAAAGGGGATGCTCCCCTTTCTATACATCCTCTCCAATATCTGTTGTTTCCTGATTAATTTTAACCATTCCAACAGGTGTGAAGTAGTATCTCACTGTGGTTTTGATTTGTATTTCCCTGATGATAAATGAAGTTGAGCCTCTTTTCATGTGTCTATTAGCCATCTGGATGTCTTCTTTGGAAAAGTGTCTGTTCATGTCTTCTGCCCATTTCTTTACTGGATTGTTTTTTTGGGTGTTTAGCTTAATAAGTTCTTTATAGATTTTGGATGCTAACTTAATTTGATGTGTCATTTGCAAATACCTTCTCCCATTCTGTCAGCTGCCTTTTGGTTTTGTTGATTGTTTCCTTCCCTGTGTTCCTGATTTTTGAAAGTGAGACCAATCTACTAGCATTCAGCAGGGGGCAGCAGAGGCAAAAAGAAGAGAACTCTTTATTTCAGGACTTGTGCTATGCGGAGTATACTTCCCTCTGCAGCCTGTATATCAGCTCCCGGTGTGGTAGTGGTGCTAAGGAGGGTCAGGATCAGACCTCCAGGGGCTCTGAGGTCTACCCCTGCCCTGCTTGCTCATGGCCCCATGAGCTGCCCCCTGTGGATGTGTTGGATGTCTGGGTGGGCCACACACTGGCGTGCCCCCTCTTTGAATGCACACATGTGCACGCTTGAAGTGTGCAGCATTTTCTTGTGGAAAGGTGCAGTGTTCTTTGTGTGATCTTTGCTCCCTCGCCTCTCCTTTCACCAAGTCGTGATGCGCGGTCAATATTTAGATCATATTAGCCGTCATCTTGCTCAGGTGTCATCTGTGTGTCGTCTTGGTTTCTCATTTGGAGTGTCTTCCTTTCTAACGTGCTCCCTGCCATTTCCCGGGTGCTGCAAACTCGTATATTCAGACCTGGAAATACACGTCAGAATGATCTCGAATTCACCCCATATTCCCCATGTCTAGTGATACTGCTGACATGCAGACCCTTCTCTTATTTTGTCTGGTGGGCACCTCATCCATACTTTTTTTTTTCTTTTAAAGAGAGAGAGCGCATGCACAAGCAGGGCATGCTGGGCAGAGAGACAGAGGGAGAGAGAATTCCAAGCAGGCTTCACATTCAGTGTAGAGCCCTACATGGGACTAACACTAAGCACTAACTCCCTCTCCCCCTCCCCTGGGAACTCCATGTGTGTCTATGATGGTGAGTATTCCATGTACCTCATGTAAGCAGAGTCTTGCAGGATTTGTCCTTTCATGCCTGGCTTTCTGAGTGTAGTGTCCTCAAGGCTCATCTGCATCAGAATTTCCTTCTTCTTCAAGGCTGAATAATACATTCCATTGTATGTACATAGCACAGTTGGCTTATCCATCATCTGCAGTTGGACACATGGATTGCCTCCACCTTTTGGCTGTTGTGAGCTGCTGTGAAGTAATTATTCTGTTTTTATGTGGAGGCTGCAAGGTTAAAAGGACAGCATTGCCGCTATCTTCCCAGATACTTTGGTTCTGGAACGTTCTAAAGTAATTTTTGGAAATTTAATACATTTACACTCATACACACATTCTGCATGGCAAAGCCTACTATACATCAATGAAAAACGTAAGTAGCAAAACAGTATTTGTAGTTTGCAGCACAGAGGGTAGGCTCATTTCTCTAAAATGTCATGGCCTCCTTCAATATATAAAGAAGAAAAAAATGAATAACCTAACAGAAAAATGAATATGAACGGATATTTCATAGAAAGTGGACTCGCCTGTGTTACAAATGTATGAAAAGATGTTTTGTCTCACTCATACGGAGATGTGCAAATTAGAAGTTCACTAATAATTTTTCACTCAGACTGTTAAAGATCAGAGAGTTTGATGAGGCTGCACTGAGGGTGTGGGAAAGTGGGCCCTCGGATGTATCACTTCTGAGAGCAGCAACTGAAGCAGCCTGGGCAGGAGGGCACTTTGAGGACATATGTCCAAGTGACAACCATACAGTTCCGCTCCTACAGCGGTATTCCCCGGATCTAATCAAGAAAACACAAAATAACCAGTATAGACGACTCTTCGCTCTCATGTTTGTTAAAAAAAACAACCAGCCAGACGTTGCCGGTGGAGGAGTTGTTGGGCCGCACGGGCTGTTGGGGTGCCGCAGAGCCAGGAACGAGAACCAGGGGCCGTGTGTGTCAAGGCAGAAGGATCTGTGGGAGACCGTGCAGATGGAACACTACCACTGGGAGCAAGGGTTTGCTCATAAATATCTAACACGTTTCTGTGCAGCTGCCGAGAAATCAGCAGTATCGATTGCCCCTGGGGAGTTCTGGTTGGGGACTGCAGGAAGGAGACTCCATAAAATCCCTGCAGCTGCTTTCAAGTTGAGCCATATGAATGTACCACATACGTTGTAAATCCTAAACTATACTGAAGAAAAAAAACACATGCATGTGTTTAAAGAAAGAAAAAAAATCAAAGAGCAAGTCGTCTTTTGCCCTTAGAACATCATTTTCCTTCCTGAAGACCCCTGTGTTACTATTTCTTAGTAGAACCCTTGGGGGAGTTTGGACCTGTGCTTTGGGTAGGTTTTGTAATGCATGATGAGTTCCTCAGGCCCTCCTCCCCCGCTGGCCTCCGCCCCCACTGGCCCCCTGCTCCCTCTGGACGTCCCTCTGGCTGGACCCTGCTCCCACTGGTCCCCCTCTCCCACTCGACCCCGCCCCTGCTGGCCCCTGCCATTCCCACCTTCGGAACTGACCACTTTTCCTGCTCTGCATGCATATCCATTGCACGGCTGCCTTCAGGACCAGGGCTTCCGGTTTGCATTTTCGCCAGACCCTTGCTCTGTGACAGTGATGGGTGTGGGGTGGAAAAAGTTCTGTTTTACAAATTTGCATTAGTTGGATTTCTTTTTTTTTATATATATATTTTTATTTATTTCTAGGAGAGAGAGACAGCGTGAGCAGGGGAGGGTCAGAGAGAGAGGGAGACACAGACTCTGAAATAGGCTTCAGGCTCTGAGCTGGCAGTCAGCACAGAGCCTGACACAGGGCTCGAACCCACAAACCGCGGGATCATGACCTAAGCAAAAGTCGGATGCTTAACCGACTAAGCCACCCAGGTGCCTCAAAGTTTGTTTATTTTTGAGAGAGAGAAAGAACATGAGTCAGGAGAAGGGCAGAGACCAAGAATCCAAAGTAGGTTCCATGCTGTCGGCGTAGGGCCCAACATGGGGCTCAAACTGGGAGACCATGACCTGAGTCAAAATCAAGTCAAATGCCCAACTGAAAGAGTCACCCAGNGAGACACAGACTCTGAAATAGGCTTCAGGCTCTGAGCTGGCAGTCAGCACAGAGCCCGACGCGGGGCTCGAACCCACGAACCGCGAGATCATGACCTAAGCAAAAGTCGGACGCTTAACTGACTAAGCCACCCAGATGCCCCTAGTTGGGTTTCTTTTCTTCCCTTCCCTCACTTCCACTCCATTTGTATTATATATGTAGGTGTGTGTATGTATATATATATAGCACATAAGTTCCTTTTATGTATATATTTTACATATCAGCATTTATAGTACACACACACACACAAACACACACACACACACACCTGTATGTGTACACTTCTGTTTCCAAGCTTACTCAATCAGGATGGATTGCCTTTTGAATAAGGCCGCTTAGGTGGGCTACTGTTTCACCTAATATATTTTGAGAAAGGTGTTCCCATTTAGGCAATAATTAAGTAAGAGTTTTAAAATAAGTTTTAAAAAGCCAAAAACCCAGCAGTTAAATATGTTTTACAGGAAAAGGTATGAATACAGTTAAAAGTATAACATTCATACCGACTTTTGTTTAAACTGTTGACTGGACTCATGTTACACCATATATCCCAAGTCCTCTTGGTCTTTAACAGGACATTATTACCTGACTAGTGGGTAGTGTCATGTCAAGAGTAGGCTGTCCTCTGGATTTGTATCTGGTTATGATGACTGCACCAACAGATCTGCGGTCATTCTCGGTAGGAAGGGGGTGTGTCTGTCAGTCCTGCTCTCCTGGAGATAAGCCCACTGGCAAAGCCAAAGTGCTGAGAGCACTTGAGGTGGGGGTGGGGGGTGGGGCAAGCCTGATCCTATTGTGGGCTTTTCTGCCCTTAAACAAGCTTCTTTCTAAATTGAAGGGAATTTTCTGTTTCACAAAATTTTTAGTCACCCAAAGCATGAAAGTTAGAAATCTCAATTCAGAAATGTCATGGTAGAAACATAGGTAATGACTTGAGTTTCAGAGTACATGTGACCTCCTACACCTGACTGGGGTGGGGGGGCCCCTCCTCCTCTGCACAGAGCAGGTATTGAGTGGCACTACTTAGAGATCTGTTTTGCTGATTTACTTTCTTGTTCTGGGACTTCTGACAGCTGTCTTACGCCAGGAGACAAATTAGTAAGTTAAACAGCCGAAAACCCCACCGTTGAGTTAGCTGTGCTGCTGGAGAGATACACAGACTTTCATCCTCCGCATCTGTCCCCTGCTGGCCAGCCCGGCCCTAGGTTTGTAGTTCAGCATCACCTGCGTAGAGCGCCAGGGGACCTGCCAGTCACAGCACGTGGTCCAGAAAGGAGACAGTTGCTTTTAGAGCACCCACCTGTATGCAGCATTTGCAGACTAGAAAACAATAACCCCAGATTCTTGGAGATTGGGAGTGTTCACCAAAGTGTTTTTCATCTCCCCTTAGGAAGGGAAAGAGTAGATGGCCTTTTGAGTCGGCAGCCATGAGGAGTCAATTGTCCTTTGGCTGATTTCTCATCAACAGGCCAGGGTGTGATCGAGAATTCTGCCACAGTGGCTGGATCCCTTTTATCCTTTCTGCTAAGTGGATGGTCTTTATTATATCCACCTCCAGAAATGGAGCTAGCCTTTCTGTGCAACAGAACCTTGACCTACTCCTGTCTGCTGCTTATTGTTGGGGGGAGGGGTACAAATAGGCCAGTTTTTAGGCCACAACTGGCTGGTGTCAGGGAAGAAAAATAAAGGCAGGAAGTAAGGAGATGAAAAAGCAGCCTGCCTTTTCTGACTTCTCTGAAGGAATGTCTATGGGGATAGGAAGGAAGTGTTACACTCTTGAGAACTCTTCAGTGCTGTAGCGAAAGCCCCTTTAAAAGCTGCTGTGAGGGAACAGGAGTGACAGCCTCTAGTACCGACAGTCTGCAGTTCCTCGCTTCCCCGGGGTCACAGTACCAGCTGCTTGCCGTATACCTGGGCGACTCAGTGAGTGGAAAGAATTGGACTCTAGCATCCGAGGGATCTGCTTTTTTAAAATCCTGGCTCTGCCACTTACGATGTCACTAACTTTGGGCTAAGATCCTAACATCTATGAGTGGACTGTCCTTCCCTCAGGGTTCACAACTACAGAGGAGAGAGCCCTTCAGATCCTGAAGTACTTCCTGAATGGCAGGTGTTGGGGCTGCAAAGATGACTAACGTGTGTGCCGAGCCTCCAAGGGATTCATGGCTTCTATGACAGCACAGTGGTGGGAAGGCAGAGGAAGGGAACTCACAGGGTCGGAAATACAACTGGAGCCTTTGTTCGTGAGGGGGTGACGGCGTGGCTGTGGGAGGCACCAGTTAAGAAAAGAGCAGAGAGACAGGTCCAGAGTCTACTTGAAACAGAGGCTGCTTCTTACCCCAGCACTGACCAAATTGGACAGAGACGTGGAAGGGGTAGAATGGAGACACCACAGGCCAGCCCCCTCTAGTGTGCTTTGCTTTTTCCAGATGTCACAAGATCAAGGTCAAGGAAACCTGGGTAGTATTGGGTTATAAAAGATCACCCAGCACCTTGATGGCTGGAATTGTCAGGCAGGGTGGGTCTTGCAGCTCCCAGAGAGGGAATGCGCCGCGTCTCCCCAGCTCAGGAGGAAAGCTGGTTGATTTATCCATTTATTGATTGAATGGCATTGGCCCTGAGCCCTGGGGATGCTGAGACGCGAAGTGTCAATTCCAGAAGGGAACTGCCGCTCCCACACTACCAGAGATCCTGGAGCTCTTGATACCCACCTGAGCAGCCAGAGGAGAAGCAATCACGGCAGCCCTGTGAGCTAAGGGGGAGGAGAACAGAAGATAACACATTTGGGAAGGAAATGGGATTTACAGGAAAGATCCGTGGGGAAGGTGTGGAAGAATGGTCAAATAGAGAACGACTTTACTTAAGGAACAAAGGGATGTTTCATTCTCTCCTCCTCTCTCTCTGTCACACACACATAAATATTTTTGTCTGTATTGAAAATAATTCCATGCATTCCATATTTTCTCTTTACCTTGTAACTTGCAGCATCTGTGTAGCAATGAGCATTTAGCTTGGGTTATGATTAGAAAGGTAGTTTCTCCCCACCGTGTTGGTTTCAGGGTATGTCTGAGAGGTTATATCTGTCTTTCCTTGCAGGTAATGTACAGAAGGATTCTGCAGCAGGCGGGGTTTATACAGTTCGCACAACTTCAGTTTCTGGAAGCTAAAGAGCTCTTCAGGTAATTTGAGGTGTTGGTAGCAGGCCCTCCCGCATGTCCCTCTGTGGTCAAAACTTTCATCTACAGACTGTGTGGGAGAGGTCGCCGCGGTTAGCTTGTGCCTCATGGGGAAGTGGTGAGGCTCGTTGACAGTAGCAGCCACCACCAACGCTCGATCCTCGCCCCCACCCCTTAGCCTCAATTTACCTGCTCCGTGTCCTTACAAGGGCGGAGGCTAACAAGGGGGCTCCCCTAACAGTCCCATGAAAGGAAGAGAAGGGAATCCTGAAGGGTGAATTTAATAACATGAAGGATTCCTAGAAAAATACTGTTGCCCACTTTTCCTTTCCTTTAGAGATTTTACAGGAAATTACGGAGCTTAGGAAAAGAGCAGGTACTTCCGGGAGGACTCATGAAAACTGCTCCTTCCAAAGACTTCACAAGGAGAATGTTCATAAGAACGACTTGGGACATACGTTTTCAGAATGTCTAACTAGAACACATTCTGTGTGGTCTAGAACCATCTCAAAGATAAAACATATGTTAAGCAGTGGAAGAGATCCTTCACGTCCAAGCAACAACTGGAGCAGAGCACCACTGTGCCACTGGGCACCAGACCCACCACAGCTCTGACCTCCTGCCCTGGCACACGCATGGCTGTAGGAGCAGACTTCTGAGTAGAGGCGGAACCATTTAGTGAATCGTGATGCCCCGTAGAGCTTACGCTTACATAAATTCTGTCTGCTGTTATCATCAGTTCCTGGCAGGATCCGTAACTCTGGAGCTTACGTAGATTCTTTGTCCCTTAGGACCTAGATTTTTCCGTACTGCCTGCTTATCCCTGCAGTGTTGGAAACCTCCTCATTCGGTTTCACGGGCACCTCTTTTTCTCATGGGTTAATTTGGAACAGTGGGCAAATCGTCACAATATATTCGTAGAAGAGTTCACAGAATTTGTAACAGACTTGTGTATGGCCTGTCGGTCATTAATAGAAGGTTCCTGTCTTTCATGCTTCAGCCTCTTCCTGGTTTTCACTGACTGCTGCTCAGTTTTTGTCAAAAGTGTGACCAAGGGGCGCCTGGTTGGCTCAGTCGGTTAAGCATCTGACTTCAGCTCACGTCATGATCTCATGGTTCATGAGTTTGAGTCCCGCATCGGGCTCTGTGCTGAGAGCTCAGAGCCTCGAGCCTGCTTCACATTTTGTGTCTCTCTCTCTGTCCCTACCCTGCTTGTCTTCCCCCTCTCAAAAATGAATAAACTTAGAAAAAAAACAAAGACAAAAGTGTGGCCCAGGGAATTGACACTTGTTGAAGACCCTTCCAAACAAGCATGATTCCACTTTCCCTTCCTGTGTCCATGATAGATGTTGCTAATAATGTGAATTTTTTTTTTCTCATCGATGTGGGACGTGTCCTCAGATTTCTTCTCGGTTCAGTGCTAGAAGCCACAACTGCCAGCTAATCATGGTTGGCACCCAAGAGAGAGCCCCTTTATGATGCTCGATGTGGGCCCGTACGTTCTGTGTCTATTCCTCTAGATGTTACTCAGCCTGTCCTGGGGTCCAGTCAGGCCAGCACTTGCCCGTGAAGCAAACTTGGCCCCAGCGCCAGAGCCAGAGCGGCAGGGTAAGACTGCACCCTGCTTTTATGGCGTGCCCATACGAGTCTGGAATTGGGCTGGGTGCTCATTGGGCAGCATAGGTGCCGCTCCATGGTGTGGGTGCAGTGACCTGGGCGACAGTGCAGAGCCCGGGCTTGGATCGGGATTTGGCTGGATCTCAAATGAGAAGCTTCCCAAATCAAGAATCATGCAGTCATGCCCTTTTGAGCTGGGTAATTTGTCATGGATGCTCTTGTGCGTTGTGCAAACCCTGGCCTCCACCCGCTGCGTGCCAGTAGCACCTCCAGTGGGGACCGAAAGTATCTCCAGACATTGCTAACTGTTTTCCAGGGAGCCAAACTGCTTCCACAGAGGACCATTGCTTGAGGCAGAGGGAACACCCAGCAAAGGCTGAGAGGCATGAAGTTTGTAAACTGGAGAGGCAATGAGGGGGAGTTGAAACCTTGAAACATGAGCCGAACGGTGGAAGGCAAAGCTGTAAGGTCACTGGGAGCAGCTAGGAAGGGCCCTGAATGCTGAGCTCAGAGGTCTGAAGTTCACCCTGGGGAGGCCCAGAACCACAGGGAAGTGGGGAGAGGGCAGGAGTGGAAGCCATGAGGGCCAGAGGCCAGAAGATGGGGAGGAGGAGACAGAGCTTAAAGGAAGGCAGATGTAGTAAACATCACAGGAAGTGTAGACCCTGGGCCCTACCTGAGGTCCCCATTCCTGTCTGGGGGCCCTGCGTCTGTGTCTGTGGGGCTGCCTCTGGGCCAAGGTTGAGGCCTGCAGCTCGGTAGTGCCACCTCTGGCTCGTTGTGGACAAGATGAGCAGGCGCGGTGGGGACGGGGTCAGTGGTGATGTCGAGGCAGGACGTTACCAGCTGGGCTCCCCGGCCTTCGGAGGTTAGGACACCACGCTGGCCGTCTGAGCTGCGGCCTAAGCTTATGCTATGAAAGGCCATCGAGAGTCACCACAGATACAGCTTCACAAGTGCTCTGGCAGCTCCTGTTGTAAGATTGCCAAGTCCCTTCTCTGTGGACCCTTCGGCAAACCTGGTTATAGTTTGGTGCTGGGAGAAGCGCTGGACTGTATTTCACCTGATTGGACAGTGATGTGTCCCCTTCGCAATCCTTTTGTGGCTTGGTTTCCAGGGGGTCTGGTGCTAAGTAGGTGTTGGCGCTGCCTCAGGTGCCTTGATATTGCACAGCAGCCCTGGCGGGGGTGTGCCTCTCGCTGTGGTCCCTTCTCTGCTGTTGGAACCGCGTGGTGGCACATGGTTCAGCAGTGCTCTGCTGGGCTTGTGCGTTGGGACGCTCGCTCTGATGTGCTCCCCATGCCTCCAGCAGCCCGTTAATGTGTGCGGACATGCACGCCACCCCCCGTGTTGTTTTGTGTGCCTATGTGTACTCTCTCTCTCTTTTTGCTTCATTTAGTTTGACACTGTAATTGCAGAAGCGGCCAGCTTGATGTCCGGGAGCTGATCTCTCTCTACCCCTTCCTGTTGCCCACCTCCTCCTCATTCACACGGTCCCACCCTCCTCTCCACGAGTATGCAGACCTGAACCAGCTGACCCAGGGGGACCAGGAGAAGATGGCCAAGTGCAAGCGCTTCCTCATGAGCTACCTGAACGAAGTCCGCAGCACAGAGGTAGCAAATGGCTACAAAGAGGACATTGACACGGCCTTGCTTAAGCTGTATGCGGAGGCAGACCACGACAGTCTGCTGGACCTCTTGGTCACCGAGAACTCCTGTCTTCTGACAGACAGCGCCGCCTGGCTCGAGAAGCACAAGAAGTGAGTGTTCCCTCCCCACACGCTGGCCCTTCCGCCGCAGTGGGAGGCTCTTGTGAAGGGGCGTCACCCCTCAGGTGACCGCTATGACGTTGTGGTGACAACTCAGTGCCCCTCGGGAGAGAGCCCCCTGGGCACAGCCTGAGACCAACTAGAAGGGTTCTTGGAAAGCATCAGGTCTCCTACCAGTTCTTCAGTGGCAGTGACCACAGCCAGTCGAGGGCCAGGTAGTAAAGGAAGTGGTTCTTGGCCTTCGTGTCCATGGCGTTCCATGCAGGACTCACCCACGCAAGACGCCACATGTGGTACTAAACATGGCAGCAGGCTTGAGTCCCTGGTGACCAGATTGCACAGATAGTTGGACACCCCACATAAATAGATAAAAAGGGGGACTTGATCTTGTTGATGTAAGTTTATGGCTTAAAACTCTGCCTTTATTATGAGCATGCGTCGGTAGGCAGCCGCCCCTTGCCGTAGCACAAAGACAGTGAACTGTAGTGACTGGCGTGGGCAGGTACGGGAGGGTCCCCAGACTCCTTCATGTGGTGAGATTCTTGATCTGTGGTTTCTGTTATGTATGTGAGACAGCAGGAGTACTGATAAAATCCCACAGAAACCGCAGGGGTTATAGGGCCGGATCCCGTTCAGATGCCCGAGACAACGCAGGGCTGGTGATTGGTCGCTGAGTGGGTGTTCACTCCTCCCGGCACTTTCCCTCAGTGTCCCAAAGACGCCACGGGAGGGCGCAACTTTGTTTGCCGATGCCTCACGGTGCTGACTTGGAATGCTAGGGTCCACACAGTCAGGGCAACTGCCTGAAAGAGGAGGGCGCCAGCGAGTAGTTCGTTATCTTCAGAGTTTGCTCTCGGAGGGAAGAACTCCACCATCCCCCTGTGCCCACTTGTTCCCGTCACCGGCTGGGGAGGGGGTGACCGTGAGCAGGACACCGCAGTGGAACCCGGGAGGCTGGAACAGCTCACCGCACGGGCAGTGTCAGTGCTGTCACTAGCCCTTTCCACTCACCAGTGAGGAAATGGGGGACAGACAGTCCACTTGCCTAGAGCCATGGCAGGTTGTGAAACCTGAACTGAAGCTCAGGGCCCCTCTCCAGGACTCCCCCGACCTGCTGTCCTCTCCAGTGGCTAGGTGCCGATGGCCCGTATTGCTGTTGTTCACATTCAGACGCCTTGCCCCTTCTTTCAGTAATAGCTCAGAGATGGCACACTTCCAGAATATTCTTCTAACACCTTGCAATGTTACCATCACCTTGAAATGTTAAACACCACTGATTATGCTGAAGAGATACAGAATCATACTAATATTTGAGAAAATTGTAAAGCCATTCCAAAGGTCCTTCTCCGTGGTTTAATTACTGTTTTATTTTTTCAGCTTATGCTAGACTTGAATATGATCCTTTTTGGAAGTTGAGGGGGCATGCATTTGAGTACCAGAAGAAAATAAACAGAAATGAGGGTCTTTTTGTCATTGGCAATTGTTGTTGAACTCTGAGTTGAATACGAGGGACTGGAGATGGGGGCAGCTGTTGCTGGGGGGCGCCACCCACAGCAGCTGGCGGAGAAAGAGTGCACTTACCGTGTTGTCTTCTTTCAGGTACTTTGCACTTGGACTGCTATATCATTATAATCACCAAGATGCTGCTGCAGTGCAGGTTAGTCCTGAAGCATTTCAGCCTTCCTTAAAAACTGCTGTCATTTTCCCCAGCATTACATGGGGGAAGAATCCACAAGTTAGTGGAGGCCACCTTTGTCTGATCTACACCCTTTTTCACAGAATAAGAATAACAACCATTTTAGAAAGTGAGTTCCTTGAGAAACGTCAGCCGAAGGTTTTCTTTTCTTTGTCTTTACGTCTCTCTCAGGACATTATCAAGGAAGAAAGGAAAATATGATTTCTTACTGAGCCACCAGGCATGGGACATCACTGCCTTATTAGAAAACAGCCTGCAAATAACAGTTTATGTATAACCTCCGCTGTTAATGACAGTGACTGTTGCCAGTGGGCAGAGTAAATAATTCTCCCCATGTTACGTGCGAGAAGACTAAAGCTGATCGAGGCCAGGGTCACGGCATTGCTCCGTGGCAGAACAGGGATTTGAACCACTATTCCCGGTGGCCCTGGCAGGGAGGCTGAGCTTGAGATAAAGAGGCATCAGTCTCTAGTCTCCTGTCGTGTCCCGCCTCACCTCATCTCACACCTCCTCCTTCTGTCTCTTGGTATCTGGTATCACTCGTCTTCTGTTGTGTGTTGAGAATGGCAGAGAGCATTTGCAGCAGGCCCCAGGTGACAGTCAGCCCTATGACTTTGGCGAGGCCAGGCATGCCGTCACCATCATGGAACACGGTGGCAGATGAGGTTAAAAAGAAATGTTGATGGGTTTCCATCAAAACACCCAATGGCTAAAGGTAGATTTGGGTGTCAAGGATAACATTTTTATACTGCAAAACACATGACTGGTAAGAATTCTAGCTTGATGTAAGTGTAATAATAAGGGCAGAGCTATAGAGAGTAGGGTTTGCAAAATCCAAGGGATAGGAAATAAATCTTTATATATGGCAGAACTCTTAAAAAAAATGACACATTTCCGTGTATGTATGATTAGGTTGTTTGGTTTGAGGAATTTGGTGTTGAAATTGGGACCATAAGAAAAGCTCATATGCTAATATCACAAGTGCACAGTATACGCCACCAGTGCTGTTTCTTGGGCTTCTTGCGGGTGCCGTGGTCCTGAACGACAGCACACTGGGAAGGTGGGTGAGGTAATGGGAGGCGGGACAGGCCGAGGAGCCTCCTTCTCTTCCACCCCCTTTTGATGCAGCCTCATTCTGGATTTCCGAAAGTACACTTTGGTTTACACAGCAGGGAAGTTTCTGGATGAAATAGCGAGGGACTTTTCTTATTAGCAGCTGTTGTGAGCCCCTGTGCACAGGACAGAACACTAGGGGACAGAATCGCCAGAATTTTTGAAAGCACAGAATCTGACCCATCCAGTCCATAAAGGACTTCAAAGTCCAGGATTCCTGTGGTGGGGAGGGTGGAAACGGCTGATACAAGCAGGTAAGTTCTCCTGTGTCAAGATGCTGTCAGTGATCGTTTTATCTCCTGAGGAAACACTTTGAATACATCTACCTCTTTCCATTTACTGTGTTTTCTCTTTGTATTACTGTGATACATTAGAAAGGAAAGAAAAAGAATGTGATGCTTTATTTTCTTGATTTCTTGGACCACGTCTTCGATATTGCTTTATTCCTCTGAAAAATGTAGAATTGATTGAGGCATTCAAAATTTGAAATTTGTCCTACTCCTTTTAAGTATTGAAAGGCCAGATAAGTAAACATATGCCCTTCCTTAGGTAATTCTAAAAGGTATGTAACCTTCTGTTTCTTTTTATTCTTTACTCCTTTCCAGTTGTGGGTGAACATTGTGAATGGGGACATTCACGACTCCACTCGCTCAGACCTGTACGAATATGTCGTTGATTTCCTTACCTACAGCTTAGACCAGGAACTCGTGTGGAAGTACGCTGATTGGGTCCTGCAGAAAAGTGAGGAGGTTTGTGCTTCATACATGCGTTCGGGGCAGTGGGTGATTTTAGGTGAGAAGCCAGCCATACTACAGCCTCACCCTCCATGGTGTTCCTCCCCTTCTAACAGCTCATCGTGAGAATGCCAGCTCTTGGGACATTCTACATGTCAGCACCTCTCAGATGTACCATTCTGCATATCTGTGTTGGGCAGGCCCCTTCCATAGAAAAACAGAAAGCGTAGCCAGATCCCATTCTTAGCATCTTCTGAAAAACGTATGCGTGTGAACCCCCATGCCTGACTGAGGGTGGCACTTCTGATTTCTGTGGCCTGGCGCAGGATCAGATTGTCGCTTTGCAGGACGTGGTACCCTGCCTGGGCCACAGCAGGCAGACCCTTGTTCTGTCTCTGCACCGCACCCCCCTGCACGACGGTTGTGGCTCTGGAGGTAGGAGGGAGCCCTGTGCAGGACTGGCGGTCCTGGTGGCTGAGAAAGGGAGCGAGGGGCAGCACGTAAGCTCAGGCCTCCTCTGTGAAGCCCAAGGAGGACAGGAAGAGAGATGGCATCTCAGCCGTCCGCGTTAAAAACACACATTTCCTTGGTTCCCCTTGGAGAGAGAAACTCAGCTTCCTGACGCAGGAACTTCGTCTTAAATGTAGAGTTTTCTGCATGTCACATGTGCCTTTTTAAACTCTGAGCTGGGGTGTATTCTCTATGGCACTATCTGAACTGGGAGGTCTGAGCCCATGTGCTTCACGTACTTTTGACTCCATGTTTACTTGGCCTCTGTGCACATGCACGTACAACATACCCTGACACACTCATGCACACCTGCACCACAGATCCAAAACTGCTGAAAGCTTTGGGCTCCTCCCAGTGCTAATAGCTGGTACCAGTACATCATTCCCAGAATCCTGTGTGCCCAGTGATGCACCAGCCACTCGACTTGTCTCATCTCTTTCAAATGCCACAGCAACATCACAAAGGGGAATTATAGATGAGGAAAGCAAAGCTCAGCTCTAGAAATTTCCCCAAGGTCAAATAGTTGGTATAGCACAGACAGAAATCCAGGCTTATAGAACTCAGACTTCACACTCAGGAGAGCTGTGCTATATTTCTCATGTGTGCGTGTGTGTGCACATGTGTGTGTTCGAATGTGCACATGTCTGTGCCCTGGGGAAGCACAGCACGCCTTTACTTTCCTACCTGACCAGTTAGCATTTCCACAGAGGATGGAATTGGCCACAGGGCACTCCATTCAACAGGCACAGGAAGGCGGTCTGGAAACTTGCTCAGGGATGGGCCTTCGATCTGCATAGATGATCCACATAGTGGATACCTGTGTGTGGAGAACCGAGTTTACTGAAGGTTCAGTACTGTATTTGTTCCTTCACGTACTAGTCAGCAAGTGACCATCCCTGTCTGCAGATTGTCTTAATATTACACAGTTGTTGCATCTTGGGTTAATTAATGTTTCTTTCTTTCACTTATGACCTTTAAAAAATTTTTTTTAATTCTTATTTATTTTTTTTGAGAGAGAGAGAGACAGAGCACAAATAGGGTAGAGCAGAGAGAGGGAGACACAGGATCTGAAGCAGGCTCCAGGCTCTGAGCTGTCAGCACAGAGCCCGACATGGGACGTGAATTCATGAACTGTGAGATCATGACCTTAGCTGAAGTGGATGCTTAACAGACTTAGTGACCTGGGCGCCCCTGATTTCTGACCCTTTTAGAAGAAATTCCGACGAGACATATGAGGAGTTTCCCATCTTTGTGCCGGGCTCTTTGATCTTTGCCAGTGCCTCACCCCGTCCTGTTTTGCTGTATCTCCGTGCTTTTGACAATGATTTTCCCCAGACATAAATGTACAGTGATCAGAATAAAGATAATCTGGAGTCTGGAAAAAGAGATAGTTAAATTACTGTTCTTCTTTCAGGTTGGAGTCCAAGTTTTCACCAGGAGACCTTTGGATGAAAAGCAGAACAGTTTTAATCCAGATAATATTATCACTTGCCTTAAGAAGTACCCTAAAGCCCTTGTTAAGTATCTGGAACATCTGGTCATGGACAGGAGACTGCAGGTGAGCACTTTTGAACTTAGACTAACACGTGCAGGGCTGCCATGTCAGAGTAGTAACTTAAGAGATAGAATTTGACCAGAGAGCTTCTTGGCAGATGGTTCTAATGTAGTGTTTTAAACGTAGATGTTTCGTGATCTAACGTAATAGTCTAAATGCTCCCTGGGTACTTAGTGTGCTCCTGGATGGTCTAGAGGACGGGAGGCTAATGTAAGAGTGCAGGAGAGCACGTCGCCTTTTCTTTACTCTCCATTTTGTGTCCATTCAGCTTCTGTTTTTCTTCTCTTTTCCTTCTGTGTTATTATCCTCAAAGGAAAGGAGAGAAGCTATACCTTTTTGGGAAATGCCTAAATCCCGTGGCCCTTCTCAGACTAGACTTTAAGTCTACCTTCCCCTATTGTGGTTTTTGAGACATTTCTGGTCCAACGCGCGTGCATTCTGTTCAGTGCCCCGCCCTGGCCTCCTGCCTGGCAGCGCTGTCCTTTTCCACAGAAGGAAGAGTACCACACGCGCCTGGCGCTCCTCTACCTGGACGAGGTGCTGCAGCAGAGGCCCAGCGCCGGTGGCCCGGGCGCGGAAGCCACGGAGACGCAGGCCAAGTTGCGGCGCCTGCTCCAGAAGTCAGACTTGTACCGAGTCCACTTTCTGCTAGGTGAGCAGCAGCCCGCCAGCCTCTCCCCTACCCGTCACTCTGCCCGCAGGGGAGGGGGAGGTGCAGGTGAAGGCCCTACTCCTCGCTTTGATGGGGTGATTCCTTGGGCCTCTGTTGGCGCAAAGGCAGCCTTCTTGGAGGGCGGGGCGAAGTGTCTCAAGCCTCCACCCTGTAGAAAGGGATGTTGGCCCTTTAGCCCTTGACACAAAGCTACCCCCCGGGAGTTGGAAGTCTGGTATCTGCAGAGCATACCTTCATCTAGACTGCCTTATTCCACGTCGGTGCCCTTGAAGCTTAGTTCCTTTGGATGGCACCAGCATTTGGGCAAGGCTCTGCCTACAGGCACCCCCTGCCCCCAGCAGCCCACTGGGACTGCTCCAGGTTCCCAGCTGTGAGCCCTGAGCCACAGGCATCTTGGACAGGAGCAGAGTCACCTTGGGGTGCAGAGTCCACGGTTTCTGTGTTGTGCAAAGTGCCACAAAGCAGCACAGTGCTTGCACCTGGTAGAATTAATTAGATTTTTGATGTGTTTATTTGGCATGCAGAATTTTCAGATTGGTCCTCACTGGGATTAATAATGTATTTCTCCTTAAATCTACAGTATTTTTTTGACCATTAACTACAGTTGATTCTCATTATTCACTGTAGTTATGTCTATAACTTGTGGGCTATAAAGTCTCCACAGACATTGAATTACTGAGTCCTGAACAGTTGCTCCCAAGGAAATGCAGGGTCAGGTTCCTGCAAACGTGTGCTCACATTTTTGTCCATACACAGCCTTGTTTTATGAGTGCTTATTTGATACGTATTGTTGATTCATTTACGTTGAACTCAAAGCCAACAGAACTCTAGCTCAGGCCTGAAGGAAGCTCTCTGTAATACACATCATGGCCTTCCTGTCCTCGGAAACAGTAGGCCTCTGTGTTCAGAGGCCTGTTCAGCACTGTGCTTGGGGCCCGTTTTAAGTGGCAAAACTACCAAGAAAAAGCACACACACAAAAGAACTGTGACATCACATAAACCATGGAGAGGACCGTTTACAGAATGCCGTCTGCGACAGTACCGGGGCTGACCTTCAGCCGTGATACACGCCAGCCACCCTGGTCCTTCACGGCTGCTGTCCGTGCTTATTGGGCGGTGCCTGTGCTATATGGTTGCTAAAACAGTATTACTGTCACTCCTGACTCCCATCCTCCTTCCTGCTTTACACATTTCTTCATACAAATCTCACACTAGTCATGGGTTAGTTGATGAGGTTCTCAGTCAGCTAACGTTTGTGAGCATGTGTAGAGAGAGTATCAGACGCTACACTGAGGATATAAAGGTGGATGTAACTTGGTTCTTGTCCTCAGTTTAATGAGAATGCAGATAGCGGCAGATAGGAGCCCTACGTGGGGTGGAGGGGAGGGAGCTCGGAGAAGGTGCTCTTTGATCAGTCACAAAGGTAAGACTAGGGAGCTTACAGGAAAGGGGGTGTCCGCCAGAGCACTAGGGAAGAACACTGGAAACTGAGAGACTACCTCTTTCCCCTTGGTAGGTGACTTCGGCGTGGTCAGCCTGGGCACGCTGTAACATTTCCTGCGCAGCCTGCCCACTCAGGTGGCCGAGGGTCAAATATAAACAGGATGATTGATGTAGAGAGTGTAGGTCACAGCCATGGTCTTTTCTCAACCATCTCCGTGCCCCTCCTGTGCTTTACGTGTGCTATAGCCACTTAGCGGCTATTTGGTGAGCGTTCCTTGTGAGGACGACAGGGATGCGCATTGCAGCTGTGTGTCTAGTGCTGTAGCTGCTAGTGTTGTAGAGCCAGCCGTTTGTTGCGGGCGTCTACCATGTACCTCAGGCCAGGATAGGGCCACGCTCCGAGTCCCACTGCCTAGAATTCCAGCATTAATGTTGGCCCTTTAAATGGGAGCTGTCCTCTGAATGTCCTACAGCAGGCAGAGGTCTCCCGTTATCTTCCTAGGTTACAGAGGGAGTGGCAAACAAGGGGCCACTGCGGGCAGGGCCTCGGGCAGAACTTTCTGCGGTGGTATCATTTTGCTCAGAGCCTGGGACCTTAAATTGCGGGAGAAACAAAAGCTTTAGAGTAATGTTGATATGGATTGTTAATGAGAGGAACCCATACTCTTCTCAGCGAACCGAATTTTCAGCTGGAACAAAGGGGTTCACCACACGCTTTTGGCAGAGAGGGTTCTTGTCGGAATCTAAGTCCACGTAGTGCCTTTCTGTTGTTGTCAAAGACCCCGTACTGGGAACATGGGAACTGTGTGGGATTACGTGGAAGTCTGGAGCCATGATGCCCCTGTTTCGCCAGGCCTGCTGAGATGACAGGTCATTTGTTTGGTTCAGCCACTAAGCGTTACGTATTCCGCGGTTAGGCTCTACCTATCCGTAGGGTCTGGCTTCCCCTTCAGGAGCACCCAGATCTGCAGCACGGAGGTAGAGGCGAGCTTGGCGTAAACCGTCTAGGTAGCCGGCTCTGCTTTGTGCTTTCTCAGGCTGAGAGCACCCAGGGGTTGGGGGCACGCCGGGGCTGGCTCTAACCACTGGCTGCTGCCGCACAGACAGAGTCCGGGGCGCCGGCCTCCCCATGGAGAGCGCCATCCTGCACGGGAAGCTGGAGGAGCACGAGGAGGCCCTGCGCATCCTGGTGCACGAGCTGCGGGACTTCTCGGCGGCTGAGGACTACTGCCTGTGGCGCTCCGAGGGCAGAGACCCGCCGTACCGGCAGCGGCTCTTCCACACGCTGCTGGCCATGTACCTCCAGCCCGGGCCCATGGTGCCCGAGCTGACTGTGGCCGCCACGGACCTCCTGAACCACCACGCGGCCGAATTCGATGCTGCGCGGGTCCTGCAGCTGCTGCCGGACACCTGGTCAGTGCAGCTCCTGCGCCCGTTCCTGACCGGGGCCGTCAGGGACAGCGTGCATGCCCGGAGGACCACTCAGGTGGCCCTCGGCCTGGCCAAGTCCGAAAACCTGATCTATAAGTACGACAAGGTGAGAGCCGGGCTTCAGACAAAGGCCCACAAGTGGAATGGCCAGTGGGGTGGGAATTCTGTTTTTGTACCTGCGAGGATCCTCTGTACTGTGTTCCAGCGCAGCTGCACCAGTTTGCATTCCCACCAACAGGACACATCTTCTCATCACGGCCCGAGTCCCATCCTGGGAGCCCCACCCTCATGACCTCACCCACCCTCTGTTGCCTCCCCAGTAATTCACACTGAAAATTAGAGCTTCAGCATAGGAAGGGGTGGGGGATACAGACGTTTAGTCCATGACAGTCCCCAGTTCATAGCCCCTTCTGGAGACTTCTCCTTGGGAGGCCCGCACTCTGCAGGCAGCAGAGGTATCTTTCCAGAGCGGGAGCCTGACATGTTCCTCCCACATAAAAGCCTTCATGACTCCCCAGTGGAGGATTTGAGGCCTGGAAGGCTCCATCTCCTCTCCTTTGGTCTGGCCCTTTCCATCTCTTGCTGCCTCCCAGGACGTGTGGACTCTCCCAGATGTGACAGTTTGCTTTACACATACAGGCTTTGCCACCTGAGACCTTCTTAACCTTTGCTTTTGTGCCTGGTGAATGACTATGCAAAACCCAGCCTTAGTATTTTTTCCTTCGTGAAACCTTTATATCCCTTCAATCAGATAAGCCCCCTCCTTCACCCACCCGCACATTCCGTGCATGCATTCATAATTGTCTCCCTTCACCATTAGACTGGGTTCTCTGAGGGCCTGGAACTTCATCTGTTTATCTCAGTATCCTGAGAACCAAGCCTGGAATCTCAAAGGTGTTTAATAAGTGTTTGTTGAATGACTGATGAAACTAATGAGTACAGGGTGAATTCTCTAAATTGGTAGTTGGTCCTGCCAATAGGCTGACTTGCCTGGGCTAACACCAGTGAATTGTGCAAACAGGCTTTTCACCTAGCAGAACTGAGACTGTTACAGTTTTGTTAGCTGCCTTTAAACAAATGAAATTATGTTTCCTAGGGCCAGGCAGGAATGTGCCATGAATCAACCACATGGCTTTGATGGAGTCCCTTATTTGTGCCTTTCATTTCTTGTTTGCAAAAGAGAGGACCAAGGAATTGAATGATTTATACAGCTCTATTCAGCTCTAACATGACATGACTTTCCAATAGTCTTTGCTCAAACACAGAGCTCAGAGAGGGCCTGTGTGAAATGCCTTGGCCGGCAAGCAGCAGTTATTTTATAAAATAAGAAAGCAGTCTTGGAGCCTTTTTTTTTTTTTTTTTTACTTCTCTAGTTACTAGGGACGTTTTTGTTTATTTTCACTTCTAATATTCTAGGGTTTCTTTTTTTAATGTTTATTATTTTTGAGAGAGGGGAGCAGAGGATCTGAAGCGGGCTCTGCGCTAATGGCACCAAGCCCGATACGGGGCTTGAACTTATGAACTGGGAGATCGTGATCTGAGCCGAAGTCGGGTGCTTAACCAACTGAGCCACCCTCTAATATTCTGTTAAAAGAAATTGATATTAAAGCAGTCCTCATGAGAGACGCCTGGATGGCTCCATCGGCTCAGGTCATGATCTCACAGTCCATGGGTTCCAGCCCCATGTTGGGCTGTGTGCTGACAACTCAGAGCCTGGAGCCTGCTTCGGATGCTGTGTCTCCTTCTCTCTCTGCCCCTTCTCACTCATGCTCTGTATGTCTCTCTCAAAATAAATAATAAAAACACTTAAAAAATAAAAAAAAACAACAACAAATCAGTCCTCATGAGTCATAATCATCTACAGGGTAATGCATGTGCACTCTGAAAACCTGGTATAACTCTAGCTGATTGGGTCCTCTGCCTTTGTTTCTTTTTTTTTGCAGATGAAGCTAAAAGGAAGCTCAGTTCGGCTTTCGGACAAAAAGGTCTGCCAAATGTGCCAAAATCCCTTTTGTGAGCCCGTGTTTGTTAGGTATCCAAATGGTGGTCTCGTCCACACCCACTGTGCTGCCAGCACACACACGAACGCCAGCCCCCCTGGCCCTGGCGCACGGACTTGAAGAGGCCCATGTGGGGGTGTGAGGAGGACCCTGAGTTCTCTACCAAGCATGCTGGGTACAGAGCGCAGCCACCTCTGCCCTCATGTCAGCCACGATGGAGGGGTGACATCTGGGCGCCAGGGAGACTTCGGTCAGTGTGAACCAGGGGCCTTTGACTGCTGACCACTCTACACTGAATGTAAATGGAAAATCCCGAAAATACACATGTGAGGGTTCACCCGTCCCGGTACTTTATAATCCAAAACAAATGCCTACTTTGCGAGGAAAGCGAGCCTTCCCTTGGCCATCCGGACATCCTGGGCTCCCCCGCCCCAACACCCTAGGCTTCAGATGTGCGTTTGCACTGGAAACGTGCTTCACGGTGGCACAGCGGCGAACAGCTCACTCGGCAGCACAGTCGTGGGCAGGGGTTTGCCAGGTGGGGGGAGGGGGGACTGTCTGTTTCCAGGATTACCTCGTGGGCTCTGCCTTTGCCCTTCGCTGACCTTGGGGAAATTTTTTGTTCTTTCCTACTTCCCGTATGGCTCTCAACCCCTAAAGGATTCTGCCTTGTTTACCTGAGCGCCCTGTTTCAGGGAAATGTGTACGCTTCCGGCTGCCTCGCCAGCGAGGCCCTGTTGGAAAGTGGTGAGGCCCCAAGAGAAAAGCCGCGCACCCCATGTGTAAGAGGACCGCAGACAGGTGACCTGTGGCAGGTGAGGGCCCACGTGTCAGGCCCTGTACTGTCACACCTGCCAATTTGACATATTTGACAAAACATTTTTATTTGAAGTTCTGTCATCCCTGCAGTTTTTCTCTTGTTTCAAAATTCATCCGTCATACTTGTTAGGGACTTTTTTTTTTCTTGTTAAAATGTACCTCCTACTGAACACTCGGGAAGTTAAAAGGGAAACGTTCTGAGCACAAGCTGAGCAGAATCTCAGGAGAGGCCGGTTTTACCCTCACGCCCTCTGCAGGACGGGCAGCGGTGACAGTGGCCTTTGCCCGTGACCGAGATGTCATCTTTCCTGCTGGGCGCTTCCACCCCGATGAGGAAGTCCAGTCAGGCTGCCTTACCTCCCAGCACTTTACATGCCTGCTCTGAGGTTTCCTGAACTCACAGGAGGCGTTGCTCTTGTTCACAGACTCATTCATCTCGTGTCTCTGCCATCGCAGAGAAGGCCGAAGCTGTCCTTCCTTCACTGCCCTGTTTTGAATTTCATCTTTGGGATGAATGATTCTATTAAGAACTAACACTAGACACTGTACCCTCTGCTGTCATGCCTGGAAAACAAGCATTAGCTTGTGTGTGTCACAGGAGAGGGCCCTGGAATACAACCTCTCTCGTCAGCCCGAGCCTTCCAGAGTGGGGGTGAAGAGCTCACTGTCCGTGGTCTAAACAAGGTACTAATAATGGTCAGTATTCTTTGTCCTTCTGGGATTCTGAGTGGCCCAAGAAAGCAGAGGCAAAGCTGCCTTCTTCCCTGTGTCTCGACCTAGAGAATAAAAGAAGAAATTCTTGTAACTCGACCACATACTACATACATGGGGAGGAAGCCCAAGCCCGGTCATGACTTTACAGCCTGTGGATGACTGTTACGGAATGGTCATATTACGGTGCATGTTATGGTTACACCTCGTGAGCTTGTGTTTATTCTTCAGAGAACAAGCCCCTGGCATGTGCGGTGTCACGCTTCCAAAAGCAGTGTTTCACTGGACACAAAATGGGTAAAATCTCGAGAGCACCTTGCAGTTGCTCATTCCTAACTCGGGGGACATGAGTCTCTACTCTGTCTAAACCTCGGTCAGTTTTCTGAAACATTTCCCATCCTTTAGAATGACGGGGATTAAAGCTGAGTGGTCTCCTGTGTTCAGAACTGTACCTCACTCTCATCCTTCTCCGACGCCCTCAGGCCCTTTTTGCAAATAAGATTTTTAAACGAAACACATAGCTCTCTCTAAAGGCCTGCCGTTTTGTGACTGTGCCATTGAATAGAACAATTAGAACATTGCTCAGCCCTTTTCTCCCCTCCTTAGGTTCTGTGTAACCGTTATAGTTAAAACAGCATGAACCGAACCCAGTTGGCATTAATATTCGAGGGGCAGTGCTGTTGGGTTTTATGACCAGTTTCTCTGACCTTGCCCCGCAGGTATTAATGTGGGCGTGGCCTGTAGGATGTGGGTGGAGCATTGGGCCTGAGCTCAGAGCAGGAAGCCTCCTGCCCATGAACTTGCTGAATGCGCTTGCTTATGTCAGAAGTGCACAGCAGCTCAGGAGGCCAGGGGGTTGCACCATCAAACCCGTGCCCGTCGCACACAACGAGGGTAGCCCTTGCTTTTCGCTCGCTCTCCTACGGAAATCTGTCCTTGCAACTTTATCCTTCACCCCTGATCGGGTCCCAAATACACAAGATGTACAAATGTAAACTTGTTGATTTTATTAAAATTCTTTTAATTCTTTGTTCTTTCTGTATCTTTTTTTAATTATCTGGGCAAAGTGGTGGTTTCCACTTGCCTCAATATCTAGTCCCAGGGGTTCTGGAACTTACTCATCTGGACCTCATGGCTCCAATAAAGTTATCACTTTACTGAATTTTATAAGTTTGAAATATTCTTAAAGTGTATTTATTTTGAAAGAGAGTGTGGGGGTGGGGCAGAGACAGAAAAAGAAAGAGAGAATGCCAAGAAGGCTCCCCACTGTCATCACAAAACCCAAGTGGGGTTCAAAGCCACAAACCGCAAGATCATGACCTGAGTTGAAGTCAGTCGCTTAACCGACTGAGTCGTCCAGGCACCCCATTGTAACTTTACTGAATTTTAAGCAATCCTCTTCTGAAATTGTCTTCTGTGTATTCTCGGGGTGCTCTTGGACATTTGTTACCTTTAGATCAATCATACCTTGAGGAATTAAGCAAGGAGATTTCTGGTAACTTCTCACATACTTCACCTTTTAGCCAAACGCCTTTCAAGTAGGCCTGTCGCCCATGGATTTCTAACTCTGAACATATTCAATGAGTAGAACTTTTCTGTTTGTTTCACCTTTAAAATTTTACTTCATCCCTTTGAGTCCTGTTCATATGAAGCCTTCGAGAAACCCTGTCGAATGAATTTCATAACTCATTTCTGTATTTCTTTTTTTTTTATCTTTATTTATTTATTTTGAGAGAGTGAGCATGAGCAGGGGAGGGGCAGAGAGAGAATCCCAAGCGGGCTCCATGCTCAGTGCAGAGCCCATCACTGGGCTCGATCCCACAGCCGTGATACCATGACCTGAGCCAAAGTCAAGAGTCGCACGCTTAACTAATTCACGTAGGCACCCCTACCGTGTTTCCTTTTTCATTCTAGGCTCTGTGCCAGCCCTGAGGAGTGTCTGTATTAACACAGCTGACCTCACCGCTCTAATCCTGTACCGCATACCATTCCGCCTGGTAGATTCCAAGTACATGTGGGTGATAGTAGAGGTGAGGTGTCGAATCATCCATATTGCAAATAGAAGAAACTGACACATGGGTTAGTGGGATGATTTTTCCTGGGAGGACAAGTCCAGCCAGCTAGAGTTCAAGTCCCTGCTAGCAGAGATCCTTGCTTGGTGCTTCTCAAACTATGAAAATCCCCAACCAAGCCAGCCTTGACTATGGTGTGCAAACAGTGATGTTGCCACTTTCAGAAAGTCATAAAGCAAAAAGTTTAACATCCTTTTCTTAGTTCTGTATTATTGGTATCCTGTGGCTTATTCACATATTAAAGAGTAAAGGGGAGCATGCTTAGGCTTACAGACCTGACTGGAGAGGGAGAGGTGCTCCATTCACACTTCCTACAAGAACATTACAAGGCCAAGTGGCTCAGGAGCATAAATTGATATCCTAAATGTGGCTGGTGGTAGAAGCGAAGACTGGCACCTGACTTCATGAAATGGGCTGTGACTCGTGTTAGATTAATTAGATACCAACTACCACCCCTTTTGCTCATAGCAGATCTGTCAGCCTTAGCGCCTGAAATGAAAATGTACGAGAATCTAGACCATATGGACCCGAGGCCCTTTCACCTTCACAAAAACACTAACTGGTTGGAGTGCCATCTAAAAGCTTGTTAATACCTTGTTCGGTGATAAGCACTGGAATTAATGAAGCCTGCTTTTCTTTAGCTTGCTTTGCAGCCAGGAGGGAAACAAATAGCTGTAATTCGTCTGCAGTCCAGAGCCGTAAATTAGGTAAATGAGACATGTGGCAAGCTGGGGCTAGAAAGCAACATATACAACTCAATAGGCTTCCAAAGGAAAATGTCACCCCTGGACGCAGGGAAGCCTGGGTCTTATCGGGCTCTGATACTCAGCTGTGGTCCTGGACTGGTCACATCCCCTAGACCATGGTGGCATCATCTGTAGCCTGGAGAGGAGCAGGTATGGTCCAGCCTTTGAGCCAAATGCTGCCCCAGAGGCTGTGGGGTCTCAGGCTGTGCCTGAGCTCTCGCACAGCCCTTCGGTGTTAACTGTCATATTCCTCTGGTGAGCATTTTCCATTTGTCTCTCTTGACCAGCGTTTCAGTGGTGTCCCCAACCAAGCTGGGGAGGCGGGCTCCCAACCTCATCTCAATAGGTATGTGAGCAATGACGACACAGTGCATGGCATGGGTGGTGTCCGGCTGACCGGCTCATCTGGGACTCTGCCTCTTCCACCCACACACGCAGCTGCCCCCCCACCTCTGCGGTCAACACGGTATCAACCCCCACATCCATTTCTCAAGTGTATTTCAATGCACTGCTGATTTACAGTCAACTGTTCAGTTAAGCTTATAAATAAACCAAAATTCTAAACTTTTGCTTTTTTAGAATTAGCTTTTCCCCAGTTACTATGTACTCCTAAAGCCATTTGATTATTTTTTTTGCTTTCATTTAATTTATGTGTATTCACTTTTTTCATGTGAGTGATAGTCAAACTCAATTTCCTATTAAAAAAAGATTACCATATTACTAATACAACTGTACATAAATACATTTTCCACGTGTTAGTCTTCTTACCATTTTTGTGATTCTTTTCTAATTTTTTTTTAATTTTTAGAGAGAGTGTGAGAGCAAGGGAGAAGGGCAAAGAGATAATCTTAAGCAGGCTCCATGCTCAGCATGGAGCCCGACATGGGGCTTGATCACAAAACTCTAGGATCATGACCTGAGCCAAAATCAAGAGTTGGACGCCCAACTGACTGGGCCACCGAGGCGCCCTTCATAGATATTTTCATTATAAAATACACATAACATAAAATTTACCATTTTAACTAATGTTTCAGTGTACCGTTCAGTGGCATTAAGTACATTCCCATACTGCAACTGTCTGCATGAAACACAACCCCCACCCTCCCCTAGCCCCTGGGAACCAGTCTACATTCTGTCTCTGTTTTGGACAACTAGGGCACTCATGTAAGTGGAATCACAGTAGTTTCTTTTGTGGCTGGTTTATTGCACTTAGCATAATGTCCTCAAGATGCCCCCATGTAGCATGTGTCACAAATTCCTTCTTTTTTAAGGCTGAATAGTCATCTGTTTTAAGTAGCATATTTAGTTACACGAAGATATAGACCATTTGGTGATATGTGTTTTATATAAAATTAGAATTGCTATTTAAGATAATTGTATGTATTATCAACATGTAAGATAAAACCCTGTACCAGCCATCTAAAAGTCATCCATTTATTGTCCTGATCTCTTCCATCAGGTTAAAACAGACCCACAAACAAAGCTCACAAATGGCCATCTGTGGGGTCTTTTGAAAATGGGTTCAGAATCCACGCAGATCATGGCCAGCAAGGAGCAATGTGGCTTTACCCATCATGAGGTGACACTGTCGATCTGCATGAGTCTGCATCAAGCTTGATTCGAAAAGCAGTGCCAGACCAGCTTATGTGACAAGGTGGGTGGCCAAAGCCAGAGCAGCCTCCCGACAGGCCAGAGCGTATGATGAGCATGCCAGCAGAGGGCAAGGGGCTTCCTTCACAGGCCTCCTAAGGAAGGCGTGCTCCTTCCCCATGACTTTCCCAAGCTCTCTTTACACAAACCTCTGGAACATCCTTCGGGGAGGGAAGGCAGTTCCTGAAGTGGAACTCAGGGTAGGAAGAAGGGGGCACTCTCCTCCTCGCTTTCCTGGGAGAGCAAGGAAGTGACAGCATGTAGTGTAGACAGCGTGTGTAGTACGTGTCCGGGCCTGGGATGGTGAGAGCTTCCAAACATGTGAACCAGGGAAACTACCGCAGCAAATGGCAACCAGCCTGTTTCCTTTGGTCGGCACTCCTCCCGCTGCCGGGAGGAGACTTGGGGCTGGGCACTCAGCCTGTTTCTGCACCTGCACTACAGACCTCTGGTGTGATCCACAGCAAAGGTCACGTCGTCACAGGGGAAGGCTGCGTGTCTCGACACTTCAGGATGCGAGAGCATCACCCCTGCCCCGGTAACCAATCTCATGCAGTTGACCATCGGCAACATTCATTTGGCTGTGCCTCATTCCGATTTGGGCACATACTGGTGTAATTTCCAGATACCTTGTGTCTATGCAAATACTAGAAAATGAGCTGCTTGCTAGCAGCAGACAGGGAAGGTTATCCCTTCCCAGCCCACCAGTCTGTGCCTGCGTGCACATGCAGTGGGCCAGGAGGACAGAGGAGCTGTCCAGGGCCGTCCTCGGTGTGGAGCTAGGATCCCCCCTGGGGCAGTCACAGCCATGGTGACTCCAAGTTACTACCACGTTCGTGCAACTGCAGAAATAAAACCGACCTTGCCACAGAGGGAGACAGTGGCTAAAGGGCTCACGTTCCCAGGATCTGTACTTAATGCCAAAGGGGCCGTTTTCCTTTTCCAATTCATGCTTCCATTTATTCATACAGTCAATCATTCATTCGTCCCACAAACGTATGTTGGGAGACTGCTACATGCCAGGCATTGTGTTAAATGCTGTGGATAAAACAGAGAAAAAGGCACATCTGGTCTCAACCCTGCTGAGATTATCATCTCACTGTGGAGTTAATAATTACAACCGAGTGTGATGAATGCCAAGAGTAGGCAGTGCAGGTCTGCAGCACAGATGAGGAGCCCTCGGTTGGAAAGGAAGTGATCTGGGCAGAGGGAGGAGTAGATCCAAGCCTGGAGGTGGGAAGGATGACAGTCCCTTGAAAATAGAGACTCACTTGCAGCCTGGAGAGAAGACAGGAGGTGAAGCCAGATGAGACTGGGGGCTGAGGCTTCATCCCGCTTCTCAGCAGAAGCAAAAACACAAGTGACTGTGCTGTGGAAAGACCAACACCAAGGGGTGACCACCTCCAACATCTGCATCGAGTATCTTGCTCTTCATCTTCACATAGTTCTTAGTGACATGTGAAGGGACCCCGCCAAAATGACAATACAAATTGTTTTAGCCAGTTTATTTGGAGAATCCTTCATTTTATAATGTAGTGTATTGGGGCACCTGGGTGGCTTTGTCGG